TGATTTTTCTAAAACCATATTTCAACCTGTAAAAGAAGTGAAACTCTTGAGCCTCTGACTGGAAGTTGTGAAAAAGAAAGAATTATGTCAGTTAGAGGCTCCTTTATTAAAGTAGTGTGTGTATAGATGCATAAACACCTTCATGTAAAACAGAGGGATCCTGGGGTACTTCCTACACCACATAGTGCAGCCTTTATGATCATGTTTAAATAGGTTTAAAAATTTTGCCTATGTTCAGTATCACTGCTTCTCAACATATCTTCCAAATGAACTTGTGATTCAAAGAGCAAATAACTGTAGAAATACGTTTGTAAAAGCTTTGCAGTAGCTGTGGAAGTACAATCATGTCTGGAATCTGAAGTGTTGCACAGAAAGGATGTTTGCCTGATTTCTGTGTTTACACACCTTTTAGACACAAGCCCCAAATTCTAATGATCTGTGTAAGGTGAAAAACATGTTTCAATAAACTCAATCCTCTTGAGCTTTCACATGGAGCAGTAGGAATCTTTGATTCTTTGTTGAAAGAGCAAATCTTCACTTTTTCTCCATGTTGTCATTCAGCAAAGTCTTGCACAGCATGTGAAACCTCCCCCTGTAGTTACAAACTGCCCGAACTGTATAATCCATCACAATGGGGACAGCCTTTTGGTTTTTGGGTTCTTTAAAAGCTTAGGTTTTATTGTGGTTTGATCCTCCTCCAGTGGAGTGATATTAGTGTTCCCTCTGATTCAGTAACATTCTCTGTGGTTCCTACAGGCAGATAATCCCTTCAACAAACAAATCTTTTTGGCTTTAATATTTTTTTATTCTTTGCCATGTTCTTTATCTATTTTCACTTCAGATAGGGTTATGTTTTGGTGTTGCCGAGGTTTCCTTTATCCTCTTGAGCTTATCCAGCATGGGGAAATGTATGCATTTTAAATGCATTTATTTTCTTTTTAGGCACTGCTCTGGTGGTGCAGTGGGACCACGTCCACCTGCAGGACAACTACAACTTAGGCAGTTTCACCTTTCAGGCCACACTGCACAATACGGGAAGGATTGTCTTTGCATACAAAGAGGTAAAGCCTTAAATACTGCTTGATCTTTTTCTTTGCTTCTTTTCTCTTATGGTGGATTTTGTTTCATAACTCATCTGTGAACATTTCCCCTCTGCTAGTGTTTATGATTGCACTGCAACAAATCATACTGTTATATAAGCCTTAGCCTTTTGAATCCAGATTTGGAAATAAAACATGAAGATACTACAGATTATTTTTATGGAGTTTGCTATTTCTTAGTCTTTTTTTCCCTATTGTTTCTAGTTATGCACAAAATGTTGCATGTTCTTCCAGCCATAGCCATTTTGACAGTTCTTAAAGTTAATGTTAAGGGGATCTTATTGAACAATATGTTAAACAGGCCCTATCTATCATGTGGCCATTAGAAAATGAAAACCTTTAATTATCTATACATCTTCAGTGGAAATTAAGTTCTGACTCATTCCATGCAGTCAGTCAGAGTTCACTCTTTTTTTTCATGCTGTTTTTAACTTTTAACACTTTTTAATATATCTTTGTCACTTCTGAAATGTTCTTTTGAAAGGTATGCTCAGCATAACTGATGCTGGCATACATTACAAAACAGCACATTTCTATGACTTCGTTGTTGCATCATTTTAAAAATACCAACATTATTTAGTACCCTTTAGCTGTTTGTTTTTTTCTCTAGTATATTTCACAGCATTTTGAGGCTTTCACTGTCAGACATAAAGCTATTTATACATGTCAGTGTCCAAGATACTGATTCTGGGAGATCTGTTTATTGCTGATTATTGATATTCTCTTATTTCCTATTAAGCTTCCTATCGAGATATCACAAATCAGCTCCGTCAATCACCCGGTGAAGGTTGGCCTGTCTGACGCCTTTGTGGTGGTCCACAAGATCCAGCAAATACCCAGTGAGTATCTGACAAGTAGCTGTAGTTTTAGTTTTTTAAACCAGCACATGAAATTGTAAACATATGACAAAATCTTAATGTAAAGAAATAACATACACAGAGTTAATAGAAGTGGAGAACTCTGGTTGTCTTATACAAGAAGAGCTCGAATATCCAATATCCAACTTCAGACTACAGTGGTGCTGACGGCTCGGTTCTGCTGCACTGTAGTTGACCAAAATCCCGGACCCTTTTGAAATTCCCCCGGACATTTTTCTGGATATGAAAAGTAGGACATGTCCGGGAAAAAGAGGACGTCTGGTCACACTATGTAATACATTAATACTTATTTCTGTTATTATCAATGAAAATATTTGCCCTCATAACGACTACTCCTTTAGCATGTTTATATATTTAAGAAGTTAACATCATGTCAACATCACAAAAAAAGTGTATGAAAGTAAAAATGTAATTTCACCCCTTGATAAATCATGAATTGTCCTTGTGTAATCACATTTTATCTTGTCCATTCTCAGTCAACCAAATGGAAAATGTTTGAAAAAATAAAGTGAACAAACATCTTAAACAGCAGCCACAGTGTCCTAACGTAAAGGAAAGTACCTCTGACATCTATCAGTCAGGAAAAGGTTAAAACCATTTCCAAGCCATTCGGATCCGATTGATTCACACTAAGAGTCATTATCCACATGAAGAATCATTGGTAGTGTAGTGAACCTCTCTGTAACTGGCCGCACTTCTGAAACTACTTCATATCGACAACACCTTTAAAATGTCACAGAACCATAAACAACATCTTCAGTCCTGCAGACCTTGTAATGTCAGAGTAAAAATAAAATGCATCATAATTTGGTACAAAGAAAAAGAAACAACAGATGATTAAACAAATTCTTGCAATTAAGAATCCAGAACTATCTGAAAAGGAGAAGCCCTTTTCTTAAAAAAAAAATAAATAAAAATAAATAAATAAATTTGAGAACAAATAAAAAAATGAAATTAAATGATAAGAAAGCTGCAAAATCCAAAATGATGGCCAGAAGGAATGAAGATGATAAAAAGACCAAAAACATAATTTATGTCATGATTTGATTAACATTCTTTTTTTTTTCACCAATCATGACAAATTACCCCTCCATCATTGTAAAAGCATCTATAATTGTGCTTTTTCGTTTTAGTTCTAAAAGATGTTAAAGAGAGAGGACACCTTCAAAAGTGATTATTTATAGACAGATATTATCTCTTCAGGGAGAGGTGAAAACAGCAGAAGAAAATAAGATGCCATAGCAACTAAATGCTCAGCAGTGCTATTCATCTAATATCACTGCAAGTTCTCCTTTGCACTGTAGTTGCATAGAAGAGCTGGAAAAGATGCTGCTGGAAGAATAAACGACAAGAAAAAGACTTACTATATAAACCCTGCTGATTCTGCCAGAGCCAATGAAACATTAACTCCCAAGATTTATCTAGTCTCCTGGCTACAGTTTCTGCAAATCTACATGTAAATTTAAAAGTTAAGCCATATATCTGCCTGAGCGCATTCCAGCTTACATTTAAAGCTTATCATGCAGAGGACAACGTATTTTGACAGATTGTTACATCCCTGTCTCACCAGATTATTATCTCTGCTCTTTTAACTAAATTAAGACATGATACTGACTATGACCGCTATAGGCTACAGCAGAAAGTTGCTCTGCTGCCAATTACTGCCTACCAACTATGGTTATGAGAGGACTTTATTTGGCTTTAATAATGCATTTCATTTTAGCTCCAGGAGGAAGATTGAGCAGAGAGGGATTTGTGGGTGTCCTGTGGTCAGATTGTGTAATTAACAGGTCCGACATAAGCTCATGTGACAGCTCAGCTTTAATACACTTCTCTGAAAAATAATTAAACTTCTCTTACTCAGAGATATTTCTTTAGATGAAGTTAAAGCTCTGCTCCCCAATTTTCATACTCCTACTCTTCCAGCTCCAGTGTGTGACCAATATGCAGAGATTGGAGCTGGGAATTATGTACAGTAATGAAGAGTTTTTAAATAATACTTAGAATAAAAATAAGATTAATCAAGTGCAAGTGTTTTGTGGGTAGATTATTTCGTAGTTTGTGTAAGGGCAAACTTATACATTTTGTGAAATATTTTCAGAATTTTGTGTAAATTACCTTTTATGGTATTAGTTCCAGTTCATCTTCTGTGGGTTTCTAAACTGCAGCTCTAAAGTGTGAGAATTTGAGCACGCCATCTACCATTGGGGTACAAACGGGTCCCTTTTCCCAAGGTTCAGGGTGGGGGTCGTGTGGGGGTGTGGAGGTTGGGTGGCTGAACTTACCTGACAAATCTGTATCCAAGACTTTTTTTTTTTTTTTTTTTTTTTCTCAAAAAAATGCTGTTTTATACTTAAAGGTATAGTGGATGATGTTTTTTTTTTCTGGGTAGATAATTAAAATAAGTGATTCTCCTAATTGTCAATCATTCTGGTTATATGTTTACGTAAGGCCGTCCTATGTGCTCGTCCCCATTTTCACTTACCAGTGGTGAGTCTGACATAGTGGAAAAATTGCAAATCTTCTTTTGGAAAGTAAGCTTGTATGAGAGATGCGAACAGCAACTTTTAAACATTGTGCAAATGGAGAAATGGGCTTGTGCATGCTCTCGCACGTGTTTGATAGGCGTTCCCTCTTGGGAGTGGGTACAGGATTGTGATTGTGCATTTTTTGGAGAGGGCAGGTCTTTTCAAAAATTCTCAAAAATCCTCCGCTGTACCTTTAAGTTTCATCAGATCTTTAAGTATCATTATTTTCTTTCAATTCTTCACTGCAGTATTGGGGAAGTTCCCCCTTCTCCCATTCCTTTTAAACGGTTATGCCACTGATGCAGTATCTGTAAAGTTTAGCATGCTGTTTGCCCTCCTTCCTGGGTCAGGCAGTGCTTCATCAATTTATCATAGATACTGTACTGAGACTCTCCCCTGAGGAACTCGCCTCAATCCGCAGAAACCAGGTAATTTAGCATCTCTCTCACCTGCAGAAAATTACAGTTTATTATCACCCTGATTGTGCAAAAACTCAGCAGTTTCTGTCAAGGATTTGTTGTCTGTCTTTGCTAGATGAATTTATAATTAAGACCACACCAACAGGTTGCTAAAAGATTGCAATGTTTTAATTTATATGCCAGGCGCCTCCATGGCGGCATCGATAAGATCAGGCAGGTCCTGTGGTACAGGTGAGAAAGATTTTGGCAGTAACATTTTGTGCTCAAATCTATGTCACACAAGCGGTAGTCTATAAATGGGATAAATTGTGTTCGGAGCATATATGGAAAGCCAAACCTGCCTAATATTCAATTAAAAAGTGCCAAAAGTTCTATTTGTAGATGTAAAAAAGTCAATAAGACTTATGATGCATGCATTAATTAATTATTTTTTCATCCTAAATATATTTATTCCCCTATATATAATGTTGGTCAACTGACTGCATTCAAAAGTCAGGGAACACAACAGACATGTCAAGGGAAATTTTTGGGGAAAAATCAGGGTTAATTCATGAAGCAATATTTTAAGATTTAAAAATGTTTCAGGATTTTCATGGTTCATCTGATAATAAAACGGTATTGAAGAACTGTAACCCTTTAAACAGGCTATTTTGCCTAAACTGAGGTAAAAGTCACAAAAACCAAGAGGCTCAGGTAATGCTGTAGAACCTGCACCATTTTACTGCTCTGTACAGATGTTGATCACCAGGAAAAAAAATTTTGCACTTCACTGTTGTAGCAGATGAAAAGAAAGTGATTGTTGAAATAAAGCAGAGGAAATTCCTGCTTGAAGTTTACCGCAATCTATGTGGAGGAATCAGCAACGATCTGGGAGAAGATCAACTGTTCATATCAGACCAAAGTTAAACTTTTTGGGCTACAAGCAAAACAGTATCAGTAGCGCTGTGATTGCCTTAAAAACACCATTCCAATGGGATATTGGAAAACTATTCAATTGGAAAAGTGGGAAGCTGGTTACAGTTTATATGTAGATGGATGCAGCTACGTTTAGTACAATACTAGCACAAAACCTTTTAAAGACTTTAAATGAGTTAGGATATAGTGGCTTAAGTAAAAAAGGTTTAATGTGTTTGAATCATGGTTGAGACTAAAAATCTACCAAGAATCTATGGCATGGTTCAACAAAGGTCGTTCCGACAGCCTCAAGCTGGGAAACTAACCTTCCCTAGGCCCCCACTATGTCATTAGGCACCTGATAATCTCTTTGCTTCAAGCAAGAGGAAGTCAGACACTAGGGGAGTAGAGGAAAGAAAGGAAGACTGGACTTATTGTCGGGCTGATCTGAGCTGACTCACAATTCCTTTGATCAGTTGTCCTGTGTATAATCCAGCCGAGCAGGTCTGCAGGGAGGCAACGTCCCATTGCATAGGGAAAGTAACACCATGGCTGGTGCAGTCAACAGGTCCTAGGATCAAAAACCAACCAAGCAGGGGAACTAAGAGAATTTGTCCAAGCGAAGGACATGAAGGACAGCCGCGACTTAGCCTTAGCGACTCACAAAGCTTTTGAGAGGAAAGTAGATTCACTTTAACAGATATGAATGTAAGGGTTTTTTTACTTACTTACAGGGTAATTCATTTAAAATTAGAGACAACATAGAGCTATCTTATTCCTGATCAACAGAAACATGAGCATTAAAAGGTATTTATCTATATTTCAGATGCTGTGAAATAAATGCACTGTACCCCAAAACCTGCTTTAAGCCATTACTTTCTTTATAATGTACTGTAGGTCAAAAACCCAAACTTCCTCTGCATCTTGATAAACATTAGCCTTCCAGATGAATATGAATATTTGCATCTAACAGAATAATTGTGCAAATTTAGTTCTACCCCTGTGTGCCTGCAGAGAAAGGTCTATTTCTTATTTGTTTAACCTTACATTGGCTTCATAAGGAGACTCTTTTCCACATTTTGCATGGTAAGGAGTTCTTAGACCTGCTAGGAAGGAATATGCTTCAGTGAGGTTATCTGTAATCATGTGCTCCATCTTACTGCATCAGATTCCTTGCTCTTACTGTCAGCTGATAGAGTGGCCTTTGAAATGCCTTAGACTGATATCAGAAAAAAAGAAATACCCAGACTATTTATTATGTCATAGTCTGACACTTTGGGCTCAAAGAGAGCAGAGAAGTGCTGAAGCAGCATCCCGTTTGACCCCGTTTTCCCAGCTGCTATATTTTTGTCCCAGTTTTCTCAGAGGCTTCAATGTTTAGGTGTTGTCTTCTCATCTCAAATTGTCTTTGTCTTCTGAATGTAGACGTGAGACGGAGAACGATTTATGAATACCACCGTGTGGAGCTCACAAAGACCAGGATCACAAACTCTTCTGCTGTGGAAATGTTGCCTTTACCCAGTAAGAAGGAATCTTTATTTATTTCTTTTTTTCTCTGCAATGGCTTATGTATTAGTTGAGGGTCTGAATGTCTGCCATCATTTCAAGAAAGGCTTTAAATGTGTTGGCTCTTCTTGTTCACAGCCTGTCTCCAGTTCACCAGCTGTGGTTCCTGCGTCTCCTCTCAGATAAACTTCAACTGCAGTTGGTGTCATCGGCTCAACAGGTTTGGCTTCTTTTACTCTCTGTAACACTTCCCTTTATCACATTTTTGGCTGTTATTTACACTCTTGTGGATATTTATTGTTTAAAAAAAAACTGTAAAGTACTTACTGCGGTATGGTACTAAAAAGTGGGGGTTAACGATCATGGTGGCATAATATCTCATTTATGATGGGTAGAATACACCTCAGAATGGATATAGCTGTTGGCTTCTGGTAGACCAAGAGAAACCTATTTTTGTCATACCACTTATGAAAAAGAAACAATAAATGAAATATAGAATGCAGCTGCAGGTTTTACAAGTTAGATTTACCATCCATATCATTAGAGTATGCTTGATATATTCACCAGAGTCAGGAGATATGAATATATGGGAAGCAGCAGCATAGGTATAGAAACAGGAGGATTTAGAAGGAAAATTACAATGATGACAACAAGGAGAAACATTAAAAGCAGCTGCTAATGCAATAATATGATAATTACAGTGCAAGTAATAAGAAACAACCTCAGACCTATTACATCAATGTGATCACGTCAGAACTTCCTTAATAATTTCTTTTTTTAGGACATTCTAAGTAAGCAAGATGTGTGAAGATATTCTCTTTATCTGCATCCCTTTATGCTGCTGATTATCAGATAGAATGATGACGATGGTCCCTCTTCCATAGCAATGCTAATACTGATGGTTGACAAGCAGAAACTAAACCTTTATGGGGATATTCTTTTGGTTGTAAGAAAACATGGTAGAGCAGATGTGTTACGTATGGTGACAGCACTGCGGTGGGTTGGCAAGATTGCTATGGTGTGAGTATTATTAATAAAGCTGTATTAGCCTTTCTATCAAGCTGAAAGAAAAAAATGTAAGTATTGCTGAACTTTGAGGTGTTTTAATTAGATTTCAGGGGTTTTTCAGGTATTAATTAATAAACATTTTATTTTAAGTATATGGAGTAAAATATACAGGCATTTGGGGGGGTTCTTTAAAATAAATCAGATTATAGATGTATTACTACAAGGTCTGTCTGCTTTTGAGAGGAGTTAGACTTTGAAAACATTTGGAGGATGTGAGATAGCATTAGTACTACACATACAGCATTTTAAACATATATTAACAACAAAAAAGTGAGATTTTCTAACAGAAATACAACCCTGTCATTTTCAACAATCTTTGCAGCATGAATATGAAATAAACCGACAGTCTAAATATTAAAAAATTGTGCTACTGTTTTGAAGATATAACCTTTAAATGACCCTTTCAGACCTGTCAGTTAATGACTTTGCAGAGATTTTATTTATTTAGCCTTTATTTTCCTCAGGAGTAAAGAGGCTGTATTACTGTAGGCAACAGCTCATTCTGACATCCACTTAACTCACACCTGTTCAGCCAACCTCTGCTCCACTTTCCTTCCCCCTTATCCCGCTTGTCTCTCCACACTTCAAACAAAAGCAAATATTTGAGCAGCTAAAGAAGTGTCGGCATTCCTCTCCAGAATTTCCTGACAGCTGAAATGTGAGCTTTAGTGGTTTTGATTTGATTTTAGTCAGATAGAAAACCCTGAGTTAAAGACGCACAAGAGCAAAGAGAATAAATTATGGAGAGACGAGACATGATCCACTCCCCATTTAAAAAGATGTTTGCTGTCCTGATTACGTCCCTCTTGGAGGTTGCTGTTTGGCCTGTGGAATGACCGTCACTTCCCTTTTTTTGCTGAAGTATTTTTGAAACTGTATACATAAACATTTAATCTGCCACTCCCTAATATTTTGTGCCGTCACTTAATGTGAGTGATGTGTTCGGGGAAATGTGTAGCACTTGTGCACTGCCCACTTTGATTTGTTGTGAAGGCCTTATAAGTCATTTCAGATATGACATTCTCACTGCTTGGCATTTTCAATCTTGTTCCTTTTGACAGAGACAAACTAATTTACAGTAGCGAGAAAACCTGTTTATGTATTCAGCAGCTTATGGGTGCGGAGAGATACTGTAGCGCCTGTAGCAGTATTCACTTTGAGCTGCATTTTAATTAGCTCTCCGACTGTGTTAATATCTCACAGTTCAGCTCCCCTCCCCTTAACTCAGCTTCCTTTAGCACCACCCCCCCCTCTTAAAAAAGGCAAACATGCTTTTGGCATGCACTAATTAAAAAGCATTGTGGCTTCATTGGTTGTGGGGTTAATTAGAGATGCTGATGTTCTGAAAGAACAGCCTCGTTGATCTTACGTCTCTGTGAGGAGCTGGGACGGCACAAGCTCAGCACCTCTTTAATGCAAAGGTTCAAGTTGATGAGAGTGGTTGTAGCTATTGTGTGCAACTGAGGTTCTACTTTGGTAGAAACCCAGAAATTTGTTTTTTCTATGATATGCATCAGAGATTTAACATATTTTACTGTCAAAGCCGGCTTAAGGAATGAGTTACCTGATTGACTCACCGAGTTCTTGCAAGAACTTGACATTTATTGTCAGTTTTTTAAAGACTTAACATGTTTTTTTTTAATACTGTGCCTAAATGGTTTATTAATCAATTTGTAAACCTTTTTTTTTTTTTATTTATTTACATTATTTACATTAATCTGAATATATAGCCATTAAAAGAAATATATCTATCACTTAACTTAGTCAGAGCAGGTCCAAGCCATAAGCAAACTATGCTGCTGTTTGATTATCCAGGCCAGTAGGGAATGGTAGGAGCTTGAACTCTTTAAAATATACATTTTTTACATGGTGCTTTGCATTGATTAGCTAGAAATAACTAAGAAATTTGGTACAATACATTTGTCTTAAGACGTTAAAATTCCCTAAAAAGTAAGATATGTTGCCTGTTTTCTCTGATGGGTTCCCAAGGTTTTTAAATTATTATTTTCACATCGAATCAATAAATGTCACATGGTAGAATTTGATGTGTTGCACAGTCTTAAAACACCTAATGGTTGAAGGCACAAATCCAGATATTTGGAAGTGTGTAGCTCAGGGTTGTTCAACAGTTTTCTAGGCTTAGGACCCCTAAACTGATGGCAGGATGTAGCGGGGACCCCCTAATTATATATATTATATGAAATTGTGTTATATCAAGCTGGTCCTATAGTCACTCTATTACGTATGGAGTAATATAACAAAAGTAATTTCTCCCTGGAATTATTAAAGTATTTCTGATTCTGATTCCTGTGATGGGACAGGTGTTTTGAATGAAACAGTGCCCAGCTTTAAAGAGCTCCTGTGTGTCGCTGAATGTGTGCATTGATGACTGAAAGACATCTTCTGCCTCCATTTATCTGTTTACTACAGTGTGTTGTATTCATGTTAATGTGTATTTAAAGACATTTCAATTAATGGAAAAAAAATGGAATGGAAAATATGAAAAAAAAAGTCTAATCAACCAAAACTTTTGCGACCCCCATACAGTACTTCTGTTGACCCCTTGGGGGTCGCGGACCCCCTGTTGAAGACCTCTGGTTTAGCTTAATCATCTACTCTTTATCCAGATATGTTCAAATAAAACAGTAGGCAATCTCCTGATATGTAAAGACAGAGTTGGGATTGGTCTAAGCCAGCAGGAAGGGAGTGAGTTTTTAGGAACCTGAATCTTTTGACAAGAATTTGTCTGAATCTGCTGGTAACTTTTCTGTGTCTGTTCCTTACCAGTTTGTTTCACAACAAGTCATCTTAGGTTAGGATAAAGTTCAAATCTAATTTGGTGAAAATCATTTCAGTGAGAGCAGCAAGTTAGGAGATATAAATGGACGGACAAAAATATTTTACACACTTTTTTAGATTTGTTTAATATTACATAACACATTCCTATTTCCTTTTTTTAGATTAACACAAACCTATTGAATAACTTTGCATGATATATATTCATTTTCATCATAAGGCGTATTTATTTGACACATATAAATATCAGGTTTAATTATTTTTATTAATAAATTTTGCTTACTCAATATTAATACTAATAAGTGTTTTTTTTTTCAAATACATAACCTTTTTTGTTGCAGAAAGGTAACCTAATAATTGTAAAATTCAAACAATAAGCTTTATGTATTTAAAATAAATAAACTAATAATAATAATAATTACCAATATCCATCACAAATTATTTATTTAACAGGTTTGCATTCAAATAATGTCCAAAAAAGTAATTGGGAATTTGTTATGTAAAAAAAAAAAAAAACATATCTTGAAATTCTGGTGAAACATTTTTGATTTAATGAGTTCCTTACAGTGATATAATAATCTAAGTTGTGACGGTTATACCATAGAATTTCTAAACACATCCAAGAAAATCCTTGACAACTCAATTCAGCCGAAGATCAAATTTCCTAGAAAACAACAGTAGATTCATAGAAAACCAACAATAAAATACGTAAAGCTGAATATCTCAAAGTAGATACTAAATCAATTTACAGGAGAAATTAGGATGGTTATTTATAAATTTCATAATCACATGTGACATTAAGACTTTAGAGTTATTTTCTGATTAGAAGATGTGAGGAAAATCTTTAAAAAGTATGGTCTTTTTTTCTAGTATTAACTATGAAGAGAATTAAAAGAGGAAAATAACAAGAAAACAAAAAAAAAAACGACAAGCTGAGGAAAAAAACTATCTACAACTTTATGGAGGGGTTGTTATCTTAGTTATTCTATTTTAATCGCTTATCTTTATCTGATAATGGTACTAAGGCAGATTTTACTACTGATTTCTTTGCCTATCTGCAAGATTATGAGCCAGTAAAAAGAAATTTATTGCTTAATCTAAGTATGGAGCTGAGAGAGAGATAACAATTGGTGCTGAAACTACGTTTAATATCCCTCTTAGATGAAGATTCATTCCAATATCAGCTGTAGTAAACAATTATAAAATACATTACATTTCATGTCAACCCTTGTATCATTATCTGTTACTTCTTGTGGGTGAGTAGGACTAACTGACATTTTGCTAATAAATAAACTTTCCTCTTCAGTCGTAATTTTTTTTCCTTCAACAAAACTATTTGGAACAAATCTCTAAATCCTGTTATTATGGTCCTCATATGATGCAGCAACAATAAAATTATATGGCTCTGATCCATCGGCGCAACAAGAAACTTTCAGCAGTGAAACAAATCAGTTAAATAACCAATTCTCTGGTTAAAATTCATTCCGAAGATGGGTCTGATTTAGTGAAAGAAAATAACAACATGGCTGCCAGATTTCTCTGAACTTAAATAGCTAAAATAACACAATAGGCTCATCCTTTTGCGACTGAAGTGAGCAATCTAAGCAGAAACATTCTCTCATTTATATTCAAATGAAGTTTCCCATCTCTGATTAAATGCATATCGGCTCAGTGCGTTGGACGACGACTAGCTGAGGTGGATGCCAGTGAGAAGAAACAAAGCTCTGGCTCCGTTCAGGGACAGGTTAGACTGAGCCTCCACGGTTACATTGTGCCACACTGTGATGCCTTTTGCTGTGGCCTCAGGAGGCAGAATCAGTCAGGGGAAAGAGAGGAATTAAATAGAGGAATCTGATTTGGCTGATTGAGCAGACGGATTTGGGGGCATAGTTTCATTACCATAACAATATGCTCTTTAGAGAATGTGGGATCTTCTGGAAACCTTACTCAGCTTCTAGTGTTCTGACAGTGCTGATTCATTTTAATCCACACTTTTTCTACATTGTAGGTTTTATTTGTTGTTTCCTTGAGTGGGTTTGTTTGGCAAATTACATAGACGAAGTGTTTTGACCCGCCTTAATTTGAAACCCTACATATCCTTCTTCACACTCTCTCAAGTTTGAAACTATTTCTTATGGGTAACATGTTTAATACAGGAGTAACACGTTGCTTTAACATTTTTCCGCAGACAGTTTTTAGTAGTGGAGGGCATAGATTATTTTTTTTTTATCTAGATTAATCTCTCTGTAATCTTTAAATTAATCTAGATTGAAACTGCTCATTTGAATTTTACCAAAGACATTCATGATATGTGTGTGCTACCTAAATAATAAGTGAAAGTAAGTCTTAAAACAGGTTTCTCAAGCCAGGTGGTGCATTAATTTTAATGGTGCTGACCCTTAATATTAGTCTGTAGGGGAGGGTCAGGGTTTCCAAAATACATTATAAACTGCTTAAGACAGCTTTTCTACTAACTGGTGATGAAAATAAATAATATTCAATAAGATGTAATTGTGTTTATTAACTGTTTATTCAGACAAATATGAATTCTGAACTGCAGGCCTACATAATATGTCATAATGAAATGTTTACAGCCAGTAGGTTTCTGTCAGTCAGTCTAAGCTCTATTTCTCCTTTTTCCACCAGTCACTTTGGTGGACCAACTTTGAAGCAACAGTGTTTGAGGATAAGACTAAAATCTGTGTTTAGAATGTCTCCTGTGATGTAAAGATAAAGTTGTTGTTTTTTTTAAAAACATCATATGAAACTTTGGTTCTAGAAATGATATAGGCTAAATAAATACCACAGTAGCTACATTTTCAAAAAGTGTGCCACTTTACCCAGATCCACCAAAGCAATCATCCAGAAGCAAGCATAATGTTGTGGTAATCATCCGTGGTGTTGTGCTAAAAATAAATTTAAAGTAACATAACATAGCCTTTAGGTGGTACACTGAGACTGGAAGAACTCCTGCAGTAAACTAATTCCACATTGCACCAGTTGCAAACAGCTTTAGTCTTGTCCAGTTTTCCCTTGGAAATCTTCTTAAAAATATTTTTTTCCTGAAGCAAACCCGGAGTCTTTAAAGGCTGCATCCATGTTAACACGTCACATTCAATGTGGTAATTTAACAGTAAGCCTACACAGGTTGGAAGACTGATTCGTTCTCGCTCCCAGATATACATCCGCGCTAAACTATCAACGTGAAAGTCATCATCAGTATAGACTTAGCTGCCAACCCAACTGTGTGAATAGATTAATGGTGATGTTTTTTTATTGCCCTATAAGAGTCTGGTGTTAATGCCGATAATGGCCCACCACTAGTTTTTAGACAGCTTGTAAATCACCTACTATTATCAACGAATTAATGAAAAACAACACATGATCAATAATTATAACAATAATTGGAGCTTCAATGCTTTCTATGCCATTGTTTTATTTGTAAATCCAAATGCATCAAATGGATTTCTGCAGGTTTTCAATCACATCAATGCGTATCAAAGCATGTAAAATTGTAGTGCAAAGACAATTTGAGGAAAGAGGATTTTAGGAGACCAAGAGGACTTGCTGTCTCCATGTTTCAGTGGACTGTCGGTGTCTTTGATACTGGGGTTTAATGGGCATAAAACTATACTGCTGCAGTTTTGACAAAGAAAATGTTGTTTTTCACTATCTTTTAAAATGTGCAGATTTTCTTCTCATGACAAATAAATAACTAACTAACAAATAAATAACATGTTGAACTCTAAGCAAAACAAAAGGAGACATTTATTACTTCAGTAGAGAATACAGTTATTTAACGGATATATTTGCACTATAAAATAGTTTTTATATATTTGTAGTTACTTTTAAATGGATACAGTTTTAAAGATGTTTTCTACTTTTGTATAAATAGACAGAAAACATTGTAGATGTTAATAATACTATGTTTCCTTCACCCTCAGATGTTCCAGTGGCTTTGATCGCCATCGCCAGGACTGGGTGGATAACAGTTGCCCAGATGAGGTAAAGATTCAATTCCAAAAATTGTTCTTGGAGTTCCTATTTACAAAAGTCATTCATGCCATCATGCCGTCAGTGATCCAGATGCAATTCTTAAGTGCTGTTGGACAGGATGACCAAAAACCACAGTGAAGGGTTTTGGTATTGTCAGATTTATAAACCGAGAACTGGAATTAGGATTGGATCAGAGCCTAAAAAGTAAAAAAAAAAAAAAAAAAAAAGGGTTTTGGTATTGTCAGATTTATAAACCGAGAACTGGAATTAGGATTGGATCAGAGCCTAAAAAGTAAAAAAAAAAAAAAAGTATAGTGGGGGATCTTCATTCATTTTTGACCCTCTCGACTTTAAACATACCACCATAATTATTGACAATTAGAAGGACAACTTATTTGGATGATCCACCCGAAAAATAACGTCCTCCACTATACCTTTAAGCATCTTTACTTTACCAAACCAAGAGTTTTGGGGTAAAATGCATGACACAGATACATTGATATATGTGATTAAAGCTTTTTGATGCTTTTTTTTGGGAGACTTTATAGAAAATGTGAAAAAAAACTTTCTTCCTATCAGACCAAAGACACGATGTGTGACACAGATGACACAACCCAACTGAACCCCTTCACCACCACTACTATCACTGCTAGAACAGCACTGAGGAGTAAAGGAACCACAGCAGGCTGGGACAAACCTTCCACCTCTGACCCTCCTAACAGTACTCCCACTGAAGGTAAAGTAACCAAGAGAACTGATACAAACTGTACAAAACTTTACATTTTGCACAAAATATGTTTAATTGAATATGATCTGTCCAGAAGGACATTATTTTAGTTTTCATTTTTTTTTGCAACAAGGCAAACTTACTTTTGCTAATTTATAGCTGTTAATCTGTGAGCGCAGCACGCAGTGGATGTGAGCGTGAGGGAATCTTCTTTATTGTCTTTGTCATTATAAATGGCTGTGTGTAAACTTTGTGTGTACACTTTATTATTTACGGGTCCGTGCCATCCCAGCCAGGATTTAAATAGGGATAATTGTGGGTAACAGGTCGGGTCTCGGTTCTGAACTCAGCGGTTGCAGATGGATACAGTTTTGAAAAACCAAACCTGTGCAGGATTCTGCTGCAAACCGACCCTGTTTTACTGATGCACAGTACCAATCGTACTAACAAATTTTTCCCTACTGCTTATAAATAAAACAGCATCCTAATTTAGAAATAATTTAATTTTTTGGCTATAAAATAATTCTGATGTTGGTTTGTATTAGAATAAATAGAATTTAGCTTGATTTATTTTCCTTAGAAAACATTTTCCTGATTCATGTGTTAAATTTGAATAATACCAAGTTTTCATGCTGAAAATATTGATCAGTTTTTCTCTTTGTGTTCTTGCCTAAAGTTTTTCACGGACTACAAAAACCAAGAAGGTTGTTCTCCTTCTGCAATTCTAATATATTCAGCAGATGATTCATTGCAGCCCAGCAGGAGTCTAAACCAAAGCATCATCTCATGGCTATCTAATGCAAATCCCCTGTAAAAAGCAGCTGACACAGTTCTTTTGCTGATAATAGGAAAACAGTCAAGGTGTCCTTGGAAGTTTGTTTACTTCCATTTCCTTGACTTCTCTGCATGTGATGTAAGCTGGCTAAACCTGCTATTTACACGTTTAACTTTTCCTTGGAAAGGGATAATTTTAGTTATTTATTCTGCTTTAAGACAGCTTAATAAAATAAACTTAAATGTGTCTGACATTTATGTTAGCTTCAGGAAGTGTTCACCTGCTATGTAACATCATGTTACCATAGAAACCCTTTATAATCAAAGCTAAAAGCACGCTGTACTCTTTATGTAATATTTTTACTTGTACCTCTGTGTTGATCTTACTACTGCTTGATGTCAGGGATCATTTATAATCGACTTGATTTCAGACCAACACTCTTTCCAGTCTGATGAGCTGCATTTGTCTTTAAAGGTTTAGAACCAACCTTACTGGTAAAGCTATGTAACCCTTAACAAATTTAGTATTTTATTTTAACAAATTGGTTTAGCAGTTCATCTACATTTTCAGTTTATTAATTGTTATCAGAAGGACTCAGTTGGCCTCATTCTATAAAAAGATGTCTTTCTTTCCTAGTTATGGTTTCACAATAAAACCACATTTTCTCTATTTTCCATATATAAAACTTCATGAGATCCCAAATGTTCTGTTATAGGCAAATAGTATTTAGTTATCGGGGGGTGTGGGGTTTACCTTTGGAAAAAATAAAAATGCTGCTTATCCCTGGAATAAGTTGTTCCATTCCTTGCTTAAAATCCCTCTACAGCAAGTCTTTACAATACAAAGAGACATTTTTAACTTGATACCAGCTTTTAAACACAACCACTAAATGAGCTTTCTTCAAAAACGAAAAAGATAACTTAATAAATATTTACCAGAGGAGATTTGTCCTTTTTAAATCCCCACCATGCCATTTCAAATGCAAGGTTTTGAAATAAAGGGGGAAAACTTTTGAAAAGAGATTAAATACTTTTTAAATGGGTTGTTAAAATCCATGGAACATTATGTAACAAAAACAAAACTTTTCCTCCTTTTAAAAGATACATATATATATATATATATATATATATATATATATATATATATATATATATAATATTTTGGTGGGGAAATTGAATGCAGTTAAATTAAATTATTGTAAAGAATTAGCTGGTTCATTTTTAGCCTAAGTGATGAAGAGCCATTTTGGAAAGTCGAGTGTCTAAAGAGCCACTTGTTGCTCTGAGCTACTGGTTTCTGACCCTCCCCTACAGACTAATATTAAGGGTCAGCACCATTAAAATTAAGCACATTATCTATTCACAGCACCTCTATTACTTACTTTTCTTTCCTTTTTTATGTTCCTAGTATTTGACAAAATGTGTCTTTGTGTGTACATAAAGTTTTATATATCAGAAACTTATTTACAGTTGCTTTATTAGCAAACAAATTCTACACGGTTTGTTGCTTAGGACCTTCAGCAAACAGGAAGTCTTTTTTCCTCTCCAGAAGTCTATATCATCCAAAGAGTTTTTACTCAGCTAAAGGAGCAAGGATAATATTATTGTTAAAGATGTCCAGGGACTTTGTTTTTGTTCTTTTCTTGTGTTGTTCAGTTAAATAATGTTTATTATGGTTCTGTACATTTAGATCTCTGTTACTGATTCCTTTTTTTCTACATAGAGGTGTTTACTTACAGACAGAGACACACCTTTTTTAATAGAAGCTCATTGATCTTCTTTTTCTTTTTGCTTGAGTTTTATTAAGGATGGGCACTTATTGCTGGGCTGCTGTGTGAAAATAATCCAACCGAGGGGATAAACACAACCAGTCGAAACAGTTCAAATCCAAACAGGGTGTGGTGGTAAGGGAACTAACTGGGGAATCACTGCATATGGGAAATTCAGGAGGTCATGAGGGGTTACAGTCTGGTACGAGTATTTGTTATGGTTGACTATTTGACACGTATGTCTTGGATGTCTTTTCAGCTGCAGCAGGGCAGGGATCAGGTTACTGAGGAGGTGGTGCAAATGGAGGCAACTTGTGGCTCGATGGGAGAGTTCTAGAAAAGGAAAACAGGCAGAAACAGGAGAAATATCTCTGTTATAGAAGTTTCCCTTTGTATAGAACATGCTATAAGGGCAATATGCATTAATCCTTTAAGTTTTGAACTTGTTTTTGCAGCTTGGAAAAAATGGGAAATTAAGATAAACATGTGAATGAATGTTTATTGTTAACCTGAAAAGCCTTTTTTGGGACATATGCCGTGTGTTTAATATATGTGAGTCTCTGAATTGTTTTATTTATGGAAGTGAGACACACCGTGCAATGTCCGGATGTCACATCTGTAGCAATGTTGCATGGCATAAACTCAGTCCAGAACCAGTACGCAGCTTTCTAGATTCCCTTTGCTGTCCTCACTACCTGTGCTAAGTCCTCTCTTCCCTGTTCCTTGTTACCCCTCCTATCACACTAACACACAGGATCCTTTCCATTGTGGCCCTAAAGGAATAGTTTTAAAACTTGAAGCAGCAGTTCTTTCTGAATGAAACCATTGAGGCAAATAGACCTGATGGAAAATGTTCCAGATTAGCATAATGTAAATGGCACAGTGCGTGTAAGTGTCTCCTACCCTTGAAGCTGAAGTGGCTTACCCTACATTTCCATATTTCACACGTATATTTAACCCCAGCCTGATATCATGTGTTGAATTATTGATGCTCATTCATTATATTCAAGGCATTCATTTTTAATAACAGTAGTAAATGAAGATGGTTCACTAATGAAAGAAGCTTTGTCTCCTTTGGGGCCTTGAGGGGAGGTTCTGATAGAGCTAAAGCATCAAAAACAAACTACAAAGAGAAAGTCTGATTACTTTGTCTGACTCCTGCGGTTCTTTGTCTCCTTACAGATGATACCAAGATTCCAATGCATCTCAGAGACAGCCAAGGTGAGTCCTTAAAAAACAGAATATTATAATGACTCTGACAGTGGCAGTCATTGTTTGTGCCTGAAGAGAAATGACAAATGTATGATTTTTATTCACACAGCATATGCTATGAAACAACAGTGTGCTGACACTGAGGATGTTTTTGCATTTTTCTCCCATCGGTTAAACCTTTTTATCACAGTGTAGGACAATGTAGGGTTAGTTAAGGTGAAACGGGTCTGTGAGGAAGATATGGTGTAGGGACACAATGCTTAAGCATTGGAGGTAATCTTCAGGTGATTATTGTTGCAGCAGGATTAAATCATTTCTTTTTCAGGAGCTCACACTGGAACTAGATTATTGTCTCAGCTAACGTCACTGGTTTCTTTAAATCTACCAGAGGTGAGTTGTGATGTGGGTCAATGGTAGCCTTCTTTTGAACAGATTTTTCAGGGTCTCTGCTCCGGTCATTTGTCCTGTGATTCATTTCACGACTCTGTCAGAGCTCGACTTCCTTAGAGTCCTTTGTCAGACGGAGGATAATAGAGAAGACTGGTTTCCATCTGCAGGAGAATACTCTGCTTCTCTGTGAGACTGAGGCATGGTGGATTGTTGATTAGGGCTGCAACTAACTTTTATTTTGCAAGTCGATTAATGTGTCGATAACTTTTTAGATGAAACGATTAATAATCAGGTAGTAAAAGGTTCCTTAAAGACGTTTTTATGAAAACAAACCAGGTGAAACTAAACCTTTTCCACTTGAGGAGTTCTGGATTGAGCATAATGACAGACAAAAACATCTTTGAGTCTTAAATACAAAATGGTTGTTTTAGAGTCTCTATACTACAGTTAACGATCAATCGATTATTAAATGAGTTGAAGATTATTCCTATAAAAGATGAATGACAATTAATCCGATTATTTCAGCCCTACTGTTGATGCTACAGGAAGGAATGTTTTTTTTTTTTTTTTTTTTTTTTTTATAACATTTAGCCTGATTAAAAGCTGTAGATGAGGTTATAAATGGAAAAAAGCAAGACATTTTTCTCATTACCATTTCATTTCTTTTCTAATAAATAAGATTTTTTTTTCAGGATCTGGTCTCCCTTGTTTTATCTTTAGTTTGATATTTATTATATCTTGTCTGATCCAACCACAATTTGTTGAATAGTTTATCAGTGAACCAATTATTGTTTTATATATATTTAATCAATATGTAAAAACTATATTACAAACACTAGAGTAAGCTTGAATGAAAGCTATACTGAATGATTCTTTACTGAATACAGTCTTTTTTTCCGAGACATTCACTTTATGTTAAAAGCAGGAAAGGTTTTTACCTTAGCCTTGTATCGTCATGTAGACAACAGCTGTCTGATAAACCACACATTTATCCTTACAACTGAAGTGGAAAGCAGACTTATTTATCACATCCTGTCCTTTTAATGCACTCATGCCATTGATTATATAAAATATATGTATCCTGAATTTAAATGTAGCTTCCCTAGTAATTTTTTCTTCTTTTTTCATTTGCATTAATATAGAGGATATATATTTCAATGGTTTTATGCATCAGTTAGAAATAGGGGAATATATAAACACCCTGACTGAATTGGAGAAAAATTAGACAAGGATGTTACAAAAGCACTGAACATAAACAGTAAAGGAGCTCCTGGATTTCTGAGTTGTACTGTTTAATTGTGTCCATTATTCTCCATTTATTGTGATAAAGGTTTACAGTTGCAAGACAGAACCATCATAATTATTGGTAAACTACTGTCTTTACTGTGATTAATGTTCTTTAATCACAGCAGTAGTAGTCTAATGGTGGATTCGTTTAGACTTTAACAGCCTCCCACATTACTTTTTATTCTCATCTGGGTTTGAGGATCTAGATTAAACTGTTTCTGCAGGAGACCAGACTGAACTCTCAATTTCTGGATTCTGCTGGACTCCTGATATCTGCTTGTCCCCTCCTCTCAGTGATACCCCCCCTGCTACAACCTGTCAGTACGACAGATCAGAAGCCTTACACCTCATTTGCCATAACAGAAAATGACGGCCAGACATTGATAACCGATTAAAATCGATGACAAATGGCTGTCCTTAGGTTAAAATTGAATACAATAAGTTATTTTAGGTACATCTGAGCTAATTTTCCAGGTTATTAATATTTCTCAGCACATGTTTGCTGCTTTGACCTACAATGCTTCACCCTTACAGAGAACGCTCTTGTGTTAGACAGGTTTGATTACCACCCTGTTATTCTCCGTGTTGGAAATGAATGAGGCAGAGATCCAGGGGAGAGCTTGGTGGGCTGACAAGCTCTGTGTTGCCTACAGATGCTAATTAAATGCAAAAAGAAGCCTGGGGAGAGGTTGTCAGGGGGCAGACAGAGGAAAAGAAAATAGATTTGGCCTGAACCAGTTGACACCTAGAGAATATGTATGACACTGAATTTTAGTTTTATTCCAAGCAAATGGGCTGAGCTTATTCTTGACACTTAGTTTTCCTTTTGTAAAAAATTGCACGAAATGACATTTTGTTTTCTTCAAATTTGGCCCCCAAAGACAAAAACGGTCTTTTGAGGTTTACAGGCTGTTGATATAATTTTTCCAATGCTCTATCATAACATCTGAATGTTGATATGCACCTGTCATTTTATAAGAATCCTGCTGAACAACAAAATGATCCTGCTTTTATACGTTTGTAGCCCACCTTCTGAACACTGAAATTGGCAACAAATCTTTTCAGTCCAGAAAACTGCAGAATACAGTTTTAACTGCCTTTTTCCCCACATGCATGTTGGAATAAAATATTTTCTATAGAGAAAGAGTGCTGGAACAATGAAAGAAATTTAAGAACATCTTAAAAGTGTTTTATGAATGATGATTGACCCCTAGAGGTTGCTAATAGAACTGCAAATGCATTAGAAAATGTTTTTAAAACATATATATATTTATATTTTCTTTTTCAGTTATGCCAGCTGATAGCGCCGTTAACAGAGGCCCAGGCACCCATCCTCTACACACTGGTCTGATCCTTGGCATCCTGCTTGTAATGATTGTCATGATAGCCGGCGTGCTGATAACTGTCTATGTGTACCATCACCCGACGTCCGCAGCCAGCCTCTTCCTCATTGAGGTGAACAGTAGCAGACATATCCCTCTTAAAATCCTGGTTTAATAGTTTTTTGTTCATACTTTTATTTCTTTAAAAGAAAAAACAGATTAAGAAATGTATTTTAGCTAAAAAAAAACAGATTATAGAATATAATATAATAGAAAAAAAATATAAGGCAATAGAAAAAAATGATTTGTCTATTGCTTGAAGATCTCTGACTCATGGATATTCAGCAGGATTCTCTATGGTGAAATTGGATCACAAACTTTGTCCTTAATTTAAAAAAAATACACGAGAGGTTATTTTATCTTCTTAGTAAAAACTAAAGAATAAGTCAAAGTTTTCATGTTGGTATAAAAAAGATCAGTGTTTTAGAACCCTTGCTACCAATAACACACTACAAAAGCTACAATACCACAGCCATTACCTAAAGAGCTTTGTAATATCGACAGTAAGTTTTAAAAAAAAAAAAAAGCATATTTCTTGTTGCAAATTCGGGTAGAGCTTATCAGAATCTAAATTTGTATATTTTAATTCAGGGTTGCAATAACAGCTTACCTGGTTATTTTTCAGTAAGTCTGGAGTCTGGAGTTGATTTTTCCATCTTTAGTTTAAAGTCTGATGTTTAGACTTTTTAAAATTTGAATGAATTGAGACAGGTGTAAAGAGTGCATGGATTACAGGGGTCTGAATATTTATCATTTAATGCTTAAATTCTTCAAAATGATGCATTGAGCACTAGATTTAGCCATTTAGGAACAGTGCAGATTAAAAAAAAAAGTGCCCCTAATGGATCAGCTGTGAGTTCATTCATTTTTGGAGGTTTTACTTCAGTTTTGCTATCAACAACCAGCCCTGATTGCAGAAACTGTATATATATTCAATAAATCACCTAAACAGAAACTATTGAACAACATAAATTTGGCTAAAAGGTCTCAAAAAGACATAATAAGAACAGACCAGAATGTGAAACTTTCTCCCTATTGGCAAGCCTACTGAAAATTATGCATTGACAACTTAATTAGGAGGGAACTAAAATAACACAGTATTCAAAGAGCTGCAGGCTGTACTTTGCTTAATTAGGCCCAATGATTATGATAAAAAAAAAAAAAAATGAATACGAAGGGGGACAATATTCTGGATCTTTTTTTGAAGCTGTTTTCCATCCGGCTAATTGACTGAACCATAAATTTAATGTTTTGACTGAAGAGAGTGAAGGTTTTGGAATGGCAAAGTAAAAGTTTAGACTAAATTTCATTCATTTGCTATATCAGGCTCTTCATGCTCGAGAATCCTCCATGTCACTGAAATTGAGTCTTTTTTTTATATGTAGAGTTTTATCCTTAATAAATGATATTGTAGAAACTGCTTTTTGTATTTCTACAGTTTATATTTGTTTCATTCAAATGTATTAAATGAGCTGAAACACTTAGGTGTGACAGAAAAAAATCAGCAAGTAAAATCTGAATTCTATCAAATGCTTTTTAACATGTTTTTTTATTGCTCCCGAGCTTTAACCTTTGACTTCTTGTGTCTTTTTTTCACATCTTCCCATCTTCTCCCATCCGACCCTGCAGAGACGTCCAAGCAAATGGCCGGCCATGAAATTTCGCAGAGGTTCTGGTCATCCTGCATATGCAGAGGTGGAGCCAGTGGGCCATGAGAAGGAAGGCTTTATCGAGTCTGAGCAGTGCTGAGGCTGGAGTTGAGGTGACCTCATCCCCACCTGATCCCAGCCTCGACCCATCCTGCGTGTGACCTCCTGCTTCACCAGGAACCTCTCACCCGACACCTCCAGGACTGACCCACCGGTTAAGGAGCTTTGGTAAAACTCTTAATTTGGCCGTTTAGAGCTGAATGAAAGCCAGAGAACAGCTCCGGTCAGTGGAGCAGACTTACCGTGGACAGAGGGGAGGAGACAGCACTGAGACGTCATCATTCAGCTGACATTGATAAGGATTTCTGGGCTGTTATCATGCTGCCATGGAGGGCTTGGACTGACTTTATTTTTGTCCAATGAGGAAGCAGGAAGACCTACTACACAATATATATTTTTCAGAACCAATAGAGTATGTGAACAGAGATTTCCACTTGATTCTCAGTGGTGTTTAAGCCTTTGTATATCCATCAGGTTTATACTAGTTTTCTCTTTTATTCCAGTGATTTTTTTTTACTATATTTAGCAGGATGGGATTGGCACATTGCTCTGGACTCTTTGTTGGTATTGCCTTTCAATACCACAGCAGATGTAATTGACTTTTCCACAGCCTGCTCTGCTGTGCGATATGATGTGAGCAGAACTGTCACGGAGATCTATCAGAGCTCATTCAGCTTCCTTTTTTTGGGGGATTAATCGATGATGATTGGTTGTGGAAATGTTTTTAATTTCTTTTCATTGGTGATGGGAACATGCAATTTATGTTCTGTTTTTTTATTACTGCTCGGTCGTTGTGCCCCTGACTAGAATTTGCACAGTCTTCTTTCTCTCTCGTTCTCATGCACATTTTTTTTTTGTGCAAATATACAAGACAGGCGCTTGTGAGTGTGAATATATTTTCTAAAAGTGTAGGTGAGATGCGTGTATGAATACAAAGGAGTAGTTAACAGTAGCGATGGGGTATCTGCTTGCGGTATGGGTGTTTCTGCTTGAGCTGGCTCTGTAAGGGTGATTCTGATATTCAGAGGTACAGCTCATCATGATAATGAGTGATAAAGATTTGAGACTTTTCAACTTTATCAAGGCTCCACACACTACTCCATATATTCTTAAAAAAAATACAACTGGGCATATAAGTTTGAATGTACTGAACATTTTCCACAGTAATATTTAGTTCAACCTCAACAGGTTGTAAACTTGCTACATGCTCTTTGGAGCCATCTAAATGCTCTACATAGTCCTCATATTTTTTGCAGGTTTTAAATCAGGGGTTTGGCAAGGCAATATTAAACATTTAATACTACCCTATTTTATTCAATCAAAAATGCTGTTTTATATGTAATTAGGGTTAGGATCATTTGGCAGTTGGAGCAATTGATTGTGTGCATGATTCAAACTTCTAGTTGTTGTTTTAAGGTTAAGTTGATGATGGCAGAGGTATTTTACCTTTATTCTGTCCACCAATTACAGTACATCATAGCAAATCGCAGCACAACCTCAGCATTATGGTGCCACCACCATGCTTGGTGACTGGTAAATTCCTTTTAATCCCAAAAAGCTAAACGTATTGTGACAATTTGTTGTTGTGGACCTAAAGTCTGTCACACAGTCAATCACGGGCTGGAGCCAACATGGTCCCTTGAACATCCTAATGAGTTTTATTCAGTCTAATGGTACCAGCTTGTTTCTTTTTCTTTCCCCTCCTTTCCAAGCAGATGGCACATTCAAATAACTTATAAATGCATAAACCTGTTTAAACTGGATGATCTTGAATCTGAAGCTGTTCAAAAATGGTTCAAAGTAGTCACGGCTTGTGTTAACTTCAATCTTTTAGGTCTTCACGAAGTTTGTTGGACCTTTCCATTGCTCAATGGGTGAATTCAATGTTTGATGCTAAACAAATCCATTCTTTGCTGACAAAGGGAAACTCTTCAAAGCAGTATGGAATAAAAGAAATTTAATCTTTTCCAGTCACACAGGAAATAACAAAAAGACTCTCTTAAATGTAATAATGTCTATACCAAGCCAATATATTGCCAGATTTAGGTCATTCTTAACTTATACTATTGCAGTTATGCAATGTGCAGTTATGGTCCTNTTTTTTTTTTTTTTTTTTTTTTTTTTTTTTTTTTTTTTTTTATGAATGTTAATTTTCTCCTTTACTTTTTTACTGAAATGTGAACAATGTTCTGTTTTTCTTGCTCTCATTGATCAATACACAATCCAGGCATTATTTTTTCGCTGTTTTACACAAATGACCTTGCACTCATTATTAGGGTGAATATCCTAGGATTGTAATTGCACAACAAAATGTTCAATGTTTCATCTTTTCAGGGTGCAGAAAATCCTTCAGCTCTTCAGTCATTTTCATTTTTATTTCTGTTGCCATTACATTCAAACCAAAGACTGGTCAGCCTAAGGAAGAAAACCATTTCGCCTCAAAGCCTCCATACCATACAATTTGGTGCCATTAAAGTTAGCTTTGCTTAGATACTGTTATGTTCACCAGAGTAATTTGCTGTTATTGAAAACTGTATAGAAAGCAAGGCATTTCTTTGAAGACTGATAATATTTAATTACTAGTTAGCAGCCACAAAGAGATATTAAACCGATTTTGGAACTACTAACCAAATTTTCACTATATACTTTGTTTACATTAATTTTCAAATTTAACAGATATAATCAACAATAAACACAGACAAACAAAAAATGCCTGTGCAGTTTTTTTTGGGTTGAGGCTTAAATTAGCAGCTTTCTGGATAAATACAGAAAAATAAAATGAAAAGCATAGATTATGTATGTTTCTTAACTTTTATTTCAATTCAGTTAACATGAAGATATTTCCATTTGATTTTTTTCTTTTAAAACAAAGAAGGCCACATTAGCTTTAGCTATGGAAGCTAGATAATGTTAATTAGGCTAATGTTGACTTACTTTAACATATCAAAAGAAAAAAAAAACATATTTGCTGGTATCAAAAGCTGTATGATGTTTTAAATTTACCTTTCATTAACAGATATATGTTGGGGTTTTTTGGGCATTTTAAAAACATTCTTAAGGCAGAATTTGCTATAAAAATGGCAGTCAGTCTAGGCTAATACTTGTAGTTTTTAAATGTATCTGGAAAAATTCGATAGGACTTGATAACTTGTATATTTGTGAAAACCTATATCTGCTAATTATATTTATGTGATGTTTTCTATTTGAATTGTTACATGTGTTTCTCACCCAATGGTGATACCACCTGGCCATCAGAAAATATACCCGTTATTTTCTATATTCTACACTAGCGCTAGCTGCCTTACAAGCAGCTGGCACTACACGAAAAGCAATACTTTTCCAAAGTGTGGTAAGGCCACTTTTATTTTATGCACCATGATTTGGCACTAACCATACGAAGGACCCTTGACACAAATAAAGAAAAATATCAATACATCTTCAAATACTTCCAGAAACCTATCTATATCCATTCAGCCCTGTAAAAACAAACTAAATTACAGAATTCAATTCAGTTTATTTTTATAGCCCCAATTCACAACACACGTCATCTCAAGGCACTTTACAATTCACCAGATCATACAATCAAATTGATTTAAAGTTTTCTATCTAAGGAAAACCAGTTGATTGCATTGACTCAAAGGCAATCCCTCACACCAAGCATGCTTGAAGCGACAGTGGGGAGGAAAAACTCCCTTTGAACAGGAAGAAACCTTCAGCAAAACCAGAACCAGGCTCAATTTAAGCATGCCAGCTGCCAAGGCCGACTGTGGTTCAATGAGACAGAAGCAGGCATATAGAAAGAATCAGAGAAACAAAAGGCAACTGTCAACCAGCTCCACAGGAGGCCCAGTCCAGGAAACACACAGCCAGGCAGACAAGCTCCAAGCCAGCTACCATGTCGGATGGATGAAAGAGCACATCTATCCAGCCACAGAAACAGGACTACACTTAAAAACAGTCTGTGTTCGAATAGCTATAAACAGAACAGCATTGATCTTAATCCTGCATCGTTTGATGGACCCTAGTTCATAATTGTTATAGCAAAATTGCTATTGAGTGGTTATGATAAAGGACACTTGGATTTTACAAAAATTGCAGCATTGAAGAGGAAGCTCAACAGTCTTAAAGATTTCTGTTCCCATCTGACACTATAAAATCTAGCTAACAAAATCTGCTAGTATTTGTACCCTTTACTGATAAATTTATGATTCACAGCCAAAAGAATCTTTTTTCACAAAAGCTTGCAGTTTGTTTGTGTTTATTTTATCATCTTCTTCTTATCCAGATACATTTATAAATGCCGTATAAACACAGAAACTAAAAATTGACTGTTTTAACTGAATGAATCAATAACTCATAATACACGATAGTTTAAATATGTGAAGCTGGAGGTTTAGGTTAATGAAGTGATTTTCCATTATTTCAGGTGTGTTTTAATACTGTTAGAAGGGTTCCTCTTTAAAAAAAAAAAGGATTTTTTTTTATTCTCCCCTTTTGTTTATACAACAGTCAAAAGACACTTGGTGAGAGTTATTGATATTTCTCATCATAAGAGACTTTTAAAGAGGCTGCAAAACTTAAACTTAGAGAAACGTGCTTGGTTTGGTGTCTTGTTTCACTAAAGCTGATGAATCATTTTTACTTTAGTTATAAGTATCGGCTTTTTCAAAAGTGGAGATGAGATGCTTTTGTTTTGATCCCTCATGTGTTTGAGTAAATGTTGACATACGACAAAAATCCACATAAAGAAGTGCTTTTCAGTGCCCCAGTTTCCTTACATTATAATGGCTCATAGTAGACACAATCACTCAGTATCCGCTGTCTGTGATTTCTGTAACTACTGTTGTTTTGAATACATTTGAAATAAAGTTGCCAAAAACAGCTTTGTCCTTGCAGTTTGTTCCTCCACTAAAGCTTTTTAATATGTTGCATAATTATAAACTACAAATTGCATTTTTGATAGGATAAACACTTACATTGTTCCTTTATTGTATATTTATTTCGGAATACATGGGATGTTTATTAGATCTCAAATATCCAACAATAATAATGAAGGAGACAAGCTATTTTAGTTTCCTAATCTACACATAATCTGTATACAAGAAAAGGTAGGAAACATAGTAAACAGAGTAAAAAAAAGGGGGGGAAGAGTGAAAAACCGGGAAGCATAAAAGTAGAAGACGGGTAGAAAGGCAATTGGTAGTAAAGGATGAATAAGGGAGGTGGAGAGGAAAGGAACGAAAACAGGAACAACAAAAGATGAGGGACTGAAGAAACAAATGACACTGCAAATATTTTAATATTAGTATTTTTTTTCTTAAAAGAAGTGAATTTATTCTTGAATTGAGGAGAAAAAGTGAGACACTTTCCCAATGGAACAAGACAATTTACATTTAAAATAAGTAAAAAAACAACTGCATTGTGTTCTTTCAAGTGCATGATAATTAATTAGCTTATTTAAAGAGTAAAATACTCAATCCATTGGCAAATTACCTCATTTACCTACTCAAATTAAGGGTAAATATACTTCATTTAAGGAATGTTTACTTATTTCTAGATATTTTTTCCAGGGAAGAAAGGTAACAAAAGAAAAGGAGTAAGGTCGAAGACAAAGGGGAAATACAAGAAAAGAAGAAATATGTCATAAAAAGATAGGACACTAAGAAAGGGGAAGGTTTGGCATAAAGAATGGGAAGGAAGAAGGGAATCAGGACTTAAGTTAAAGAGAACACAATGAAGTTAATAAAGGGAAAAAAGCAGGAATAATGGAACAAAAGTAAAGAAAGGTGGCACAAAGTGCAATCAAGGGAAAACAAGTATAGATAGAAAAAGGAGAATACAAATATGAAAGGAAGAAATTATATAATAAAAGAAGTAAGGTACTATTACAGAAAAATATGAAAATGGCCAAAAAAATACATAAAAGGGGAGATTCAAGAAAAGAAAACCGATAGAGGACAAAGTAGAAAGGAAGGAAACAAAAAAGAAAGAACACTAGCAAATTAAGAAATGGGTTTAAAGGACAGAGGAAGTATATGAGGAAGAAGAAAAGCAAAGCATAGCATGGGAGTTTTCAAACTTTGAAAATATTGAAATGAATTGTTATAATCTAGAGTTTTTAAGGCATCATAAGAACCAGGAGAGTCTGTAAAATGATCCCCAATCATGAGAGCAGATGAAGCTCAAGCTCAACAGCACTAAATCTGGGTGAAAAGGGCAGAAGAAAGAAGATGCAGTCAAGTAGAGAACAAATGTTATATAACATCTTCCCTGTTGTCTGGCGTTTTACTCTCATCTAGTGGTCAAAGGAGAGAATGATCAGAATATTTAGGTAATTGGGCAGAACAACTGGGAAAACCCAGTTGTTCTGTTTAATACCTTAACACCATAGAATGGCTTTTAAATGAAAACACTTTAAAAAAATTACTTATTTATTTTTATTTAATTATTGTTTTCAATTTAGATTCCAAGATGACTGGCAAAACACAAATAGGAACTGGAATAATAATAAAAAAGGAAAAAAGTCTGCAGTTAGAAATAAATATAAAAGACACTCTCCATTTTCATTTTATTGTCATTCATTTCTTATTTTAATCATGCTTGATTGAATTTAACAATGCAAAACTGAGCAGTTATTTCATCTGCTTTATTATTTGTTATGATTGTATCTATTTTTTGAAAAAGGAAATAATGATTTACAACTGTTATCCTATCAAAACAGGGCCATCTAACTAAATCAAAAGGCCAGCATTAATCACAGACACTGTTGAGGGAGTCATGGGAAATATGGAGGAGCTGTAGGGATTCATAACTCAGGTGAGCATCAGTCAACTGGAAAACTATTTTTCATATACACCTCTTTATGGAAGAGTGAGCAGCTATGGTAGAGGTTAGGTAAAGGAAGCCCTTTCCTCTCTCCCCAGGTCATATCTTGGTCCAGTATAAAAGACACAAGTGTAATAAAGAAAATGCAAAGAAAAGTGGCATTGCTGAAAGAAAGCTATACGCTGTCCCAGTTAAAGATACTACGAGGAAACACAGAAAACTGGAAGAATCTAATCCGGCAAGATGAGACCTAAAATAAACCCTGGGTATGAATGCAACATAGTATCCCCAGCCTGAAACATGAGGAGGAGCTAATCAGGCAACAGAGACCTAAAATTACCCCATTTTTATAATAAAATGAAAATTCTCATGTTCCCATCCATCCATCTTCTAACACACTTAATCCCAAGGGGGGTTGCGAAGGGTGCTGGTGCCAGCTGTCAATGGGCAAGAGGCAGGGTAGAGGTCACCAGTCCATTGCAGGGCAACACAGAAACAAACAGGACTAACCACCACACCTAAGGAGAACCAAGTAACCTAACAGTCAGGTTTTTTGGACTGTGGGAGGAAGTCAGAGTACCCAGAGAGAACCCACACATGCTCAGGGATAAAATGCAAACTCCATGCAGAAAGACCTGGGCCAGGAATCAAACTCAGAACCTTCTTGCTGCAAGGCAGCAGTGCTACCCTCTGCACCACTGAGCAGCCATTCTTATGTGCCATTTAAATAGAAATAAAATCAAAAAGTATCAAAGTGAAAAGTAAAAGCTGATAAATTCACGCCTTTAGGGGTAAAGGCAAAGATTTACAGATTTGAAACCATCTCTAAAAAAGGGAGCTTATATTCAGTAATCTAGAGTAATATCTGGGCAGCTGTCAGTAATAAATTATAACACCTATATCTGTTGAGGTATATATAAGTGCATATTGAGGAACATAACATATTCAAGGAAAAGAGTTGAGATTTGCAGCAGGTCATAAAGCGCAGCAACTGAAAGTCAGAAAGCATCTTAAAGACAAAGTCATTAAAGCAAGTTATTCTAAACAGCATTGGCCAATAAAATACAGTTAAGGACGTAAAAAAAAAAAGACAATGGAGGCCAAAGGGAAGTAACTCTCTTTGTTCATGTCTGAGGAAAAAAAACAATTATCAAGAATAAACAAGTTCAGATTAGTCATAGTACATGTCTCAAAGCCATTCAAGGTCTCGTTCATGTTGTGGTGTCGGCGATTGTTATTATTCGGATAATGTCAGCGTCCAATGTCAGTGGCACAAAACGTGCTGATCTGTGTGTGCTTGTAAAAAGAAAAAAGGGGACAGCTACAACCTAAGAAAAGGATACAGAGCCTTACTGCATTCAACTTTTTTTTCAGGTATGCCTCGTTAGTTTACCATCTGGTAGATTACGTTTGGCAAAAAAACATTTCAAAGAGAATGGAATCCAGCAGGTTGTGCCCCTGAGGACACGGATTTATTGACGCTTAACCACAGATGGAGGAAAAAGATGTTATTCATGTTTAGAGAAGGCTGAATGGATGCAGTCACAGAAAATAAGCCTGAGACAGACTGTTATCAGATTTTGTATCTTTCATTATGTCAACAGTTTGGTTTTTCAAATCATAAAAGTTTAAAGTTCTCAAAACTTTCTCGGAGTATAGTTAAAACCTTTACTGTGCATATTGCTCAAGTGTTTTAAATGCAGTTTGCAAAACTACAAAAATCTTAAGCTGCAGCTAAAGATTTTTGTAGGAATTTATTGATTAATCTGAAAAGTATCAGATAAAAGAATTTAAAGATTTTATGGTATGAGTGAGATTCCATTTAATGACTGAGAAATATTAATACCTTTATAGTAAACAAATATTTATGTATCTTTTAAAAAAGAAAACCAACATTTCATAGCACAGCTTGTCTTCATTGAACTCTATGTTTGTTGCAAATTACCTGGAGGCTAAAAGGTACTAACATCTAAATATCCAAAGCTAATTAGCCTTTACAGGTTGAATTAATATCATACCGTCTGCCTCTGTAGTGGAAAAAGTCAAAAACAAATGTATAAAGTGTCCTCATAAAGCATAATGACACCATCTGGTTTTATTCCTTGGCCAAATTGACTAAAGAAATAAACTATAAACACCACAGAAAAAAAACCCAAAGAATCAACAACCTGCACCTCTTACTGCAATGTCAGAAAACAGACTCCTAGAGTTACTTTTAGTTACTTACTTTGCATCTTAAAAGCAAAATACGTATATATTTTGTAGTTTTGGCCTTATTGTTGCACTAAGTAGGCTGTTCTTTCAGCAATTGCCATGTTTTAGACCCGTATAATCCAGTTAACAATTATTCAACTACTAAATGTGTTAAAAACCATTTTTAATAACCGATTAACGAGGATGTATCGGATTTTAGCTCTGCTGTGGATTAAGTGGTTCAATGAATGGATGCTGGACAGAGGGACCAAAGAACATCAATGGACAGACAATAGGTCAGAAGTAGGGACATAAATAGATCAAACGGTTTGACAGAAGGTTAAATGGACTGCAGGTACGGAGTGTGGGTATAGATGTGTAAATAGTGGGAAGGAAAAATGTACTGATGAGTAGCATATTAGGATCCAGCTGAAAGGATGAGTGATAGGAGGAAAACAGTTAGAGGGACGAACCAATGTTAACATTTACCTGAAATTAATTTGTTTAAAAAAATGAATAAAAAATGTGACAACAGTTTAAATGTTTTATTCTGTAGGAAACTAAAGAACATTTCACTTCAGACAGTAAAATAATAAAAAGAAAAACTAAAGTAACTGTTCAGGTTACGAAGACTGATTATTTCAGCAGGTTAAGAAGTAACACCAAGGTAGGTCAGAATTTACTATAAACATGCGCTAAAGGGCAACACTTGGAGAGTAGTCAATAACTGGTTTAGTGGTACAGTTTTAAAAAGATCGATGGAAAAAAAAACATGCAGGAGGACTAAACTATTCAGTTTGGTCACAACAAAAGGGAATTGTCTGGAAAAAGAAACAAATAAAAACCGATCAGCTCATCAGAAAATGCCAGTGACAGTTGAGTAGTGCGGTCCTGTTGTCAGTGTCCAACATCTGTAAGGAGTGCTGAGTTTGAAAACAATTTGCCCCATTTACACTAATCCTCTGAATCTGATCCATGCTGAGTTTGGACCGAGCTTGGATCAGTTAACCGTGCCGAGCTTGGTTCCTACGACTATTTACATAAGATGCTAACACGGTTCCTCGCCTCCTATCAGCGATCCACAATACTGCAGATCTCACCGCGGGAATTATGCAAACAAAAACGGCGGTGCCCATAACATTCAGGAACTTATGTGACTGGATAGCGTCTTCCACCCACATTTCAGGGAGAGCCTATAATCGCATCATCCCAGGTAGCATCATGCTCTTTTGATGCCATTTATGGCTGAATATAAGTTTGTGTTGTGAATAGGTGAAGACATATGTGAATTACAAAGCTGGAGAAGCTGGAATACCTGTGAAATAAGTCAGCTGGCTGTAAATAGGAGATGACACGGTCTGCTCATGCGCTCTTTGTTATCAGAGAACCCGAAAACCAACTGAACTATGCCGAGGCAAGCCCTACTGATGAACTTGTACTAAACCCCACTTACAATACCCTGTGAAAACAGATCTGTGCCTAGTCAGGACAGAGTTTGGATCAGTTTACCGTGCAGAGCTTGGTTCTTAATGGCCGTTTACACATCGCGCTAGCACGGTTCCTCGCCTTCTAGTGACGATCTACGGTACTACTGCTCTCTAGAGGGAATTAAGCAAATCAACATGGTGCGATCCGTAACATTCAGGAAGTTTGTGGGGAGTCAGGCGAAAAAGGCAGCCTTTGGTAAATTTACTTGACAGTCGGCTTTTGGGAAGTGGATACGACAAACAATAGTCTAATCAGGGCTTACAGACGCAAGAAACAACGACAGACGTTGAAGTTCATCACACTGCAAGCAGAATCATCACTGGAAATCGTGTGGCATGGTAGGGAAGCTGGTATTTTTATGAATGTCTGCAATGTTATGATTATGTAGGCTGACTGTAAAGAGATGACGCGGCCTCCTGATGCGCTCTTAGTTATCGGAGAATTTAGCCAGAACTGAACTGTTCCGAGCCCTACTGATGAACTAGTATCAGTTTAGTGTGGTTCCGTTGTGTCTGATGCGGTCCGGTTCACTTGCATTCCATTTACACTCTACAGTTATCTCGGTTACCATGCTTGGACCGATCTCGGCACAGTTTTAAACGGGTAGTCTAGATGGGGCTAATAATGTCAGCTAATTTTGTATGTAACAACCTGTGCTCCTTAGTTTTATATTCCTCCTACCGCAATATACACCACAATTCATCCAAACAGTAAAAAGGATAAAAATTACAATGATATATTGACATGTTGTTGAAAAGGCCTCAAGCACATTAACATGTCTGTTTATTACTTTAAATATGATATATTTGTAGGTTTTTCTCTACATTCAGTAACATTTTGTTTACAGGTCCCTGGCTTTTCATGTGTCAGTCAGCAGACGGTCCATCGGCACACGGGGTCCGTTTAATCTAGAAGCAAAGAGAATAATAGGGTTAAAACAAATCTTAACATGATTTTTAACATGAAGGTTCTTTATATTCTGATAAACTGCTGCCATTATAGCAGAGCACTGCTTTGTTCCGAGGAGGAGGAAGAGTCGAAATGGACTAATTTAGAAAACAAAATCCAGAATTACAGCTTGAGTGGCAGCATTTAAACCACCAAGCAACAACAGGAAGAAGGTGTCTGCTTAAAAAGGTAAAAAAAAGAGAAGAATATCATAGATCACATGAAGGGTAAGTATTGTTGCTCCCTTCATTTGCTTTACATTGGTAATGTTTATGTTTATTTTTTATTTAAATGTAAAGTTGTGTAACATTCGTTACATCTCATCATTTTTATCATGTAAATGGGGACAGACTAAAACAATATAGGCTTTAAGAATCAGTCCTCTCATCAGCCCATCAGACCTCTGCTGGGAATTAGAAAAGTCAAAGTAGATATAGTAAATTTCCAGTAAACTTCTCCACTATGAGATTAATAATGTCAATCAATTAAGATACAGTATGCAAGTTAAAAAATTAGTTAAAACTGACAGGGATCTGAATATTTCCCTTCCTCTCCTGGTTTTATTGACCATCTGCAAATCCTCAACATAGGTTTACTTCATGTAAGAAATAATCCATTACTATTAGAAATACCAAGACAGTTATCTCTTTATCGTTATCTCCCTTTTATCTCCTCCTTCTTTCATCTTTTCTCCTTTTTTTGTTTTTCCTTTCATGTTGTACTTACATTGCAGTGTCTCTATAATCTGTAAAACTCCCTGCATAATTATAATAAAGCAATTTATATGCATAAATCAAGCGGAACACTATGGTGATAACCACATTGACAGACAATGATGACTTTGAACACAAAGTCATCAAATAAATATCTGGGATGGAGTCTCTGAAGTTAAACATTATCCTTCTTTATCGAGTCCAAAAACAGCTGAAGCTAAATTGTTTAGGATGTTAAGGAACAACCCAGGAACCTCCTATAAAGAACTGGAAAATCAGGGATCAACCCTTTAAAATGTACTTCTTTAGACATAAACTACTTCAACCTTAAGAAAAAAAAAAATATATATATATATAGCTACATATGTAGAATACATTCTGGAGAAAAGTCTTATGGTTAATCTAATGGTTCCCTGCCAAATGTACAGGTGGTTTGCACTAAAAACTGACAAGAGAAATGTTGAAACTTGACAACGTCTGGATATTCTAACAGGAAAATTATCCCAAACACATCTGAGCTCGTTTTGGAATAGAAAACATCAGGAACATAAACCAGTAAATGAGTGATCAGATATATAATCCCAGTTATACCAAAGGCTTGTTTCTGAATAAAGTGTGTGACTGAAGAGCAGAAAATACATCTAAATATTAGTAGACCTGTATGTATACATTTGAGCATAGATATGCAATATTAAACCTGAATGGAGAAGAAAAATCTATCTAAACTCACTCCTTCTTTTTAATAACCTCAGAGAATGTGAGCTAATGCAGGAGAAAACTGCAATTATATCTGTTAAAACGTAAAATAAGTCTATTCTAATCATTGTGTCCTGTACGTTGTGTTTAACATGATCCACCCACATACAGCCGTTATGACTCAGCAGCTTTCCTCACCCTCATTTGGTGTCCACTTTCTGGTCACATGACAAATTTAACCAAAACAGTCCAACTGTATAACTAGACAACCTAAGTCAGACCAAAGAGCTTGTTTTTCTTTAAAGTTTCCTGAAAATCCACTTGCTTTACATTGAAACCTGTGATACTAAATTTATTTCACTTTATTTAATGAAATACTGCCTGTGTGATGTAATGAGCCAACATAAATCCATCACTCACTGCAGTTCTGCTCTGCCTCCACGGTCTTTGAGAGGTCAAGTCCAGAGTTCTGTTTGGGTCGGGCTCCCAGCTCCTGTGCCGACCTGACTTGATTCTGGTTCCCATCCAAAGGTTTCTCCTCCACCTTTAAACTGTAGAGGCCCCCTTCTTCTGCCACCATCTTCTCAACCTTCCTCATTAGCTGTCCCACCTGAGGATTGTCCCCAAATATGGAGTTGTTAATAACGAAGAACCTTTTCTTACACTTCCTCAGCACCCACTGCAGGTCTTTCCCCTCCCTGTGTATGTAACGCTCAATAGAAATTTTCCGCAGCATCTCGGCCCAGGTGAACACCACGATCGTATGGTTCCATACGTGCTCCCCAAAGAGGCTCACATGCTCCTCGATGCGTGCGCGGTCCACCTCACCGAAAATGCCCACAGGGATGATGAGCAGGAAGGCATGAGGACCTGGAGGGCAAAGTGAGGCGCCCCTGACCAGCTCCTGTTTATAGGAGGAAGGGGTTTCCTGAGCGGAGAACCAGCCGGGAGTGTCCACCACAATCACCTGGCGCCCCTCCACCTCCGTCTCCCTGGTAACGCAGAACTCGGCCGCTCGTTCCAGGTGGAACTCCTCCCTGCCTAGGATGGTGTTGGCCGTCAAGCTCTTCCCGGGCCACCTCCATCCTAACACCACCAGGCGGATTTCAGACAAATGGCTGACCTGGGCTGCAGCTGCTGTCTTTTGGGTCTCCTCCTCTGATCCAGAAGCATCTCTGGCTACAATCAAGAGATTATGTATATTAGTATGAGCAGGCAATATCTTATCAATGTCGAGTAATTTTTACTATTGTGTTATTAAATATATTTCTATAAAAATATATTTCTATAGAAATATATTTCTATATTTTATAAATGTTCTTTTATTCATACATATACATATATATATATATATATATATATATATATATATATATATTTTAAACTTGGAATGGACATACTTTCTGATTCATTTTCCATTTCCTGACAAACATTTAATGTGATATTTTAATAATAATCATGTAATAATTTTTCAAGAGAGATGAAGGATTAGTATATAACATATCAAGATGGCCCTTTCAGACATATTTTATCTAAGGCTGTTTGTTAGAAAATGTTTAACATATTGGACAAAGCTTTTGTTCAGGGGTGTCTTGCTATAATTACTTTATGGAAATAAAAAAATATGGAGACAATAGTGGAGATAAATATATCCCCATACAGTTTCATTGCCATAATATACCTGGAAGGTTGCAGCTTTCAATGCCCTCAATGCCACCATTACATATACCTTATAGAGCTATGGATGCTAAACACTGAGCGAAGCATAAGTGTGTTAAACACAGTGGACATCATTGGTCCAACATAGATGTTTTCATGCATTTAATGGAAGGTAATTTACATAACATAAGCAGACTTTTAAATAGGACTGATGTTGTATAATGCAAATACTAGAATGCTTTAAATGTAGGCTATAGCTCAACTCTGACCATCAATATGAAAAAAACTTCATAAGAGAAAGTATTAACTATATTTTCTGGCCTTGTTAACTCATTAAGTCCATGTAACCTGAGAAAAAAACAATCCAAATCTGAGTTATTCACAAGCTATTTCATCAAACCACTAACATTCAGATTGCATGTGTTTCTAACAATGTATATTGTTTTATGTGCTAACTATGAATTAGAGTGTATAAGAAAAAGAGCTATTAATGAATTAGTACAAATCTACTACAGTTAGTACCCTTTACTTTTGCATATTTGTAAAGATCTAAACAAAAATACTGAACCTTAAATCTAAATGCTGGTGTTGATTGGTATAAAAACTATAATGTAAATAAATACTGATACTACAAGACAAACTCAGTTATTTTCCTTAGTTTGTCAGAGAAAATTAAACGAATATAGTTGAGACTTGGAGGTTTCTCTAGTATTTCCTGTTCTCGTGTCCTCAGAAAGCCAAGAGCTCCTTACTTCCTGGTCTTTTCTTTTTCCAGTTTGTGTATCAATCTCCTTGTATCCCATTTCAAAACACCATAAAGACCTTCTCCAAATGTTTATGTTGCAAATATTTGAAAAATATGATTGGGTTGTTAAAGAAAATGTTACTTTAAGTGAGATGTACCTTAATGATGTAATTCACTATATAGGAAAGAGTTAATTATTCATAAACGGGGCAGTATGAGGTTTCTAAGAATAAGAGAAACTGTAAGCAGTAATTCCAATGTTTAAAACTACTGGAAATAGAGATACGTGTCCAAGTTCTTTTTAGTTCATTTTTATAGTTTAAACTGCCTGCTAACTTTAACTGCTAATTTCTCCACTGACGGTGACTACGTGTTATTAGTTAAAAGTCCTTAAAACACCCAGATAGAAGCCATTTTCCTTACCTGCCGTCTGCTGCGGGGCGTTGGTGTCCATATTTAGTTTTATCTCGACTTTAAATCCTTCTTTTTGGGGGGCTTGGTTCGCTTCAGGCGCTTCGTTTTTCGAACTTCCTCCTGATGGTGACACAAGTTTCCGGAATCGAAACGTGTACGTACTTCCGGTCACCACTTTCAAAATAAGAGCATGTTATAAACCAAACCGGATGTAGAAAAACGGTGGTGGACATTATAGACTGGTTTTATATGATCCCAAGTAAAATCTGGAAACCGCAAACATGGACATCTGCGTCAACTAAACCTTTCCAGATTAACAGTGTTAGTTGTTTTTTTTTTTTTTTTTTACTTCTATGCAAGTGATGTAAATGCTTAAAAAAATAACACGCACCCCGCAATCACAAATAATGAAATAGTTTTTTTTTTTTCGGCACGTTTTTGGTTTCTATTCTTGCATAAAATTATCTTGTTTTTAACAAAAATATATCCTCTCGGGACCAAAAGTCGTCAACACACAGATCCTGTCTTACAACTTTTATCTCATATTTAACAGTAACAAATAGCTGTAGTTATTAAAATACAGATACTTCATGTTTGTCAATTTGTCTTATTTCATTTATTAAGAGACAGGTATCGCAAAATAGATTATAAACATGTCTAAACATTGATGCAGGCAATGGGTTTTGATATGACCTTTTCCTGTTTTCTGTTCCTATCAAATAAACAAAAAAAATAAAAATACAATAGTCGAGAAACTCATAAAACCTTTTTATTAATTTATAACAAATGAGCCAGAAATCAGAACTATCTTTATCAGGATTTTAATAGATTGATAGAGGAACACAAGGTTGTGTTACATTGATAAGTGAGTCGATGATATTTAATTTTTATTCTAAAAAAGAATCAAATGGGCTGTTTGGCTGCTTCTACAACTCTCCTTGCCTGTTGTTCAATTGGATGGTAATGTTTCATACGATTGAACTTTGGACATAATTATTCAATTCTTCTAGAATATGGATATATGAGATGTTAACGTTAGTCTGTATACTAATAAAAAGTAACAACATCTACAACTACAACATCTACATTAAAAATGTAGGACGGTGCAATATGACCTTCTCAAAAGGTTTACTATAGTTGTTCTGTGGTATAATGCTGGAAGCTACAAAAGTTGCTCAGCACTGCACAACATCCTGCTGAGCTGATGCAGTACATTCAACCAGAGGCTTTTTCCTTTCCATCATGTTGGGCAATAGCTGGAAAACATTTCTCATATGACTTAACACAATTTGTAGGAGCCAGTTTTATTGTTAGACAGTGATAAAAAATAGTTATTTACATTTAGGCTAAAGCTGCACTTAGAAAAAGAAAACTGCAGAACAACAGCCCCATGGATTAGAAGCATATATCCTTCTTTGACAAAATGCAGCACAAAAGCCACTCTTCCATCAAGACATTAGAAATAAACAACCGACTTAAAATAGTTATGTTCCTTCAGTTTTGAACGTTCATTGCTTATATCATTAATTACAAGAAATTTTAATAATAAAATATGCCTCAGTTTCCCTAAAAACCATAATTTTTTGAGAAGTATAAAGAAAATGCAACAAGTTGGAGTAAAGGTGTTCATTGATACTTTGTTTTTGCTAATGAACTCATGTTGCCCATGATGCCAGCATACGCATGTCATCGTCATCTTCAGCCCTCTTCTTGGTTGCTGAAAAAAAAAAACAACGAGTCAGATTAATATTAAAATTACAGGTCATAGCAACCTTTTATTTTTCTACTACTTTAGTATCAATAACTTTCCACTAGATCCTTTATTATCTTTTAATGTGGTTTATTCTTAGTGTTTAGGTCTCTCTATATTGCAAATCATTCATTTACCTGCCACCCAATATGCAGTTTTATCATGCTATATTTATATACTGTGAGCATGACTTTCAACCTCACAAAAGTATTAACATGATGGAAATTCTTCACATTTTTTAATTTTCCAACCATTAAAAAATGGTTGGATTATTTTCTGTAATAGACCAACCTAAACTTGTTCAAAATTAGGAAGCTGAAGGAAATTATACTACATATGATTTGTTTTCATTTTTTATTTTTTTTTTTACAAATGTCAGGGAAGTGCACCTTTTACTGGAATGCATACTTCAGGTTGCCAGAACAACTTAGTCTCAGAGTTAATGGAGACCTGCTGTGGAAATCCACTTTCAAACATAATCCATGCTTCCCCCTTAAGAAATATATATATATTTTTCCTTATTTTACCCTTCAAAGCCTAAACAATGAAATGGCTGACAGAAAATGTTATTTCTTTTGAAACTATTGAACATTGTGAGAAAAGAAAAAAACAAATTCTGAATAATCTGAATTAAATAAAGTTTTTTTTGGTCATTTATGATACATTACGTGTTTCTCTAAAATTTGTGAAATTTTGTTTTCCATGCGTGTCTGATTGTATATATCAGGGTTTGTTGTAGAATATAAAAAATCATACCGATGATGTAGAGGTCTGAAAAACTCAAATATGATACACTTGATCTTAAAGTGTTAGAACCCAACAAATACAAACTGATGTTAAATAAAATGGAAAAAGATTTCCCATAGATATTCAGCAAAAAATCTTACTATTTATTTAAAGGTTGTGTAATATTTGTGGCTCTAAACTACTTTAATTTAGCTCGGGCTAAAATGGCTCTTTGGATTGAAGAGGTTAGGGACCGCTGATCTAGAACATAACCCACAAGGCCAGTGGGACTCACTTGCACGATGAGTGGGCTGTGATGAGGGCAGTTTGGAGCTAGGAACGCTCGGCAATCCTCCCATACTCTTCATGCTTTCCTGCAGGCCCTCCTGCTCCAACTCCTCCAGCTCTGCAAGCAGCTCATCCTAATAGGGAAATAAAAAATAAAAAGCTCAACAATACGTGACCAGGCAAAAAGAAATGTCTAACAATACAAGTGGAGAAAACTGGGTAACCTCATCAAACTGCTCGCCGAACGGCCCTGAAATCGCCTCACTGATTTCCCGAGCCACGTCTTGCTGCTCTGTGATGTCCTGCATCAAATCATCAATCTTGTCGATGTCCCTGAAAGAAATAAAACAAACAAGTAAATCAGAAGTAAAACTCTCAGTTTATCTTCTGAATGCTGTAAATGGAGAAAGAATACAATCAATCCAATTTTCAGGTAAGACACTTTCAATATCTTGGGTTCAACAGCCTATGGTTTGGGTACATTTACGTGTTTGTTTAAGCTATCCAGGTCAGTTGTGCCTCTCTTTCTGACACGGTTTCCTTCAATTTAACCTCAGCAGCCTTCCATCCAGCAATTGGCAAACAGTCTGCCTCTTTATTATTGGCTGTTTTGGCTCCCCCCCCGCATGTGAGGGATGTAAATCAACCGCACAACAACAACAATAACAACAACAAAAAAAACTATCTATACTGAAAGACCTTTATAATATTAGTCTTATAAAGTTAAACTTTCATGAGAAACGGAACATTGGGTCTTCATGATATGTTCATCATCAAACTAACAGCAATAAATAAAATGTGTTGCTCTCTTTTGAAGAGTAATTATATCAAATTGCAGAATAAACACAGTCTTCAATGATATTTTCATTTCTTGAGGTACCCCTGAATAGAACTTTCTGTAGTGAACATTAGGGGTGTCAACAATAATCGATTCAGCGATGCATTGCAATGCAGGGCATGCACGATTCGGCATCGATGCGGCAACGTGCCATAATCGATTATGTCACTGTTTATTTTCTGGCCTCAAATGGACAAGTTGTGAAGTTTCAATTACTTCCGGGTAGGGTTGTCAAGATACTAAACTTTTCAACTCGATACCGATACTAAGTATAATATTCGATACTCGATACCCTTTTCGATACCACAAGAATAAAAACAAAGACTCTAAAATTCAACAGAAATATTTTCATTACTAAAAAAATACAATAAATAAATAAAAAAAACAATAAGAATAATATTTGAGATTGTATGCTGTGCACAATATTAAGCAAGCTTGATAAAAAAACAAAATTAAAATTAAGTGTTCCTTCCTTGGCTATGTTTTGCAGACATAACAATGACACTAGCCAAATCAATTAAACAAAAATAATTCTCAGCAGCTGCACCTGTTACAAAAAAAGTCTGAAACTGAAAAATGCACAGAATTATTTAATCACACAGTGTTCAGAAAGTGCATTTTCCACTATTCTGCACTTTAGATGGCTGTATCGATACTTTTGAAAATGAGTATTGTATCCGGATACAACGTTTCAGTATCAATACTTTTTTGAGTATCGATACTTTTGACAACCCTACTTCCGGGGGCATACCAACAACAATCAAGATGGCTGAGGCGGAGGGAGATGACCGCCATCGAAGGGTAGGCCTAATTAAAAATGCACCAAAAGCTTGGAAAGTGGATATCTGGGCACATTTCGGATTTTACGAAGTCAATGGGATTTTGATGCATCGCAATGCATCGTAGAATCGTAATGGAATCGAATCGTGAGGGCAGTGCCAATGCACACCCCTAGTGAACATATGCCAGGATGGTGGAGATTATTTGTTCGCACTTTGATGGCTGGTATAGTCATTTTCAGTAATCTGGTTAATTGGATAATATTTACACCAGCAGTTATTTTGGTTCCATCTCTCATGCTGGATCCAGGCTGCACTGTGAGACTGTTGCCATGACAGTGGACAGTTCAATTCCCAGCCTTGAGGATTCCTGAATGGAGTTTGCATGCGTTGGTTCTCTCCAGGTACTCCAGCTTTCTCCCACAGTCCAAAAAAAACCCCCAACTGTTAGGTTAATTGGAGTCTCTAAATTGCCCTTATATGTGTGTGGATGATTGTATGTCTCTGCCCTGAGATACACTGAAAACCTGTCCAGGGTGTGCCTCACTGTGACCCTGATGGGTAGAAGGGAAAAGAAGGATGAACAGAAATAAAATTTAAACTGCATGGAGTGTTGGACAACCCTCACATCTTGGCACCAATTAAATAAACATTTGCCTATTGCATACCTATGACTACCTATCTCAATAATTCATTACAATACTTAACTACCAATAGAAATAAACTGCGCTCTACTCAGAATAGGTTAATCCCACCATCTGAAAATGGGACCAGATTAAAATTTATATCTATTTGAAAACAGTGGGGTACTAAACAGGGTATTGTTAAAAAAAAAAAAAATAAGCCAAAGTCAAACATGAAACCTTAAAATCCTTCTAGAATAAGAGATGCTTCAGGACTTTCTGAACAGCAGGAAACTATTATATTTATACAGAGATGGCAAAAGTACTCACTTTCTGTACTTGAGTAAAAGTACAGATACTTGTGTTAAAAAATACTCTGGTAAAATTGGAAGTACTGATTAAACTTCTTTACTCAAGTAAAAGTAACAAAGTACAGGCTTGTAAATTTACTTAAAGTAGAAAAGTAAAAGTAGAAAGAAACCACTTTTTTCATGCCGTTGCCTACATTTTAAATGGATGTCTGCCAATAGGACTAGATCTCCGTTGTGTTCATTTTCAATCATCTCGTTGTCCATACTACTATGCTAACGCCACCGCCACCAAGCTGCAATGATTTGCCGCAAATGAATAACGCTGAATCTGTTGATTCATCTTGTAGTGGTGCGTCAAATGCAACGTAGATTCCCATCCAATTAGATTGAATTTGGTATTGATGCCGTGAAAAATAATAATGGTAACTCCATTGAAATGATTAAAAACTAAAGTAACGAGCCAATTTTTTAAAATGTAAGGAGTAGAAAGTACAGATATTTGTGTAAAAATGTAAGGAGTAGAAGTAAAAAGTCGCCATAAAAATAAGTAGTAAAGTAAAGTAAAAATATCAGAAAAATCTACTTGAGTACAGTAACGAAGTATTTGTACTCCGTTACTTCCCATCTCTGTATTTATAATATAATATTTTGGCAGGATAGTTTAAATAGTCATTACTTTCTTTCTTTCTTCTTTTTTTTTTTAGTTCCCTTAATCCACTTTTAATTTAGAATCAGGCTTTCCCTCTGGATGAAATTGTGTTTTTTATACATTTTCTCTCTGGTAAGCCAGTTTCTTACATGTTTTGGTGGGCATGCTTCATGGCCTTAGCAGCAAAGCCCATGTTCTTAAGGACCTCCGTGTTGGTGTGTGAGTTCTCTAGAGCCTCCCTCTGAAACTCAATGGTGGACAGCGTGCCATCAATCTGGGTCAGCTGCTGCTCCAAGCGCTTCTTCCTCTTCAGGGCCTGCAGGGCAGCTGCTCCAGACAAAAGAAAAAATAAAATAATCACAATAATTCTTGAGGTTGCATTTCATCTTGGCATGAACAGACTACCAGGTGAGGGTATGCTGAGGTTTTTATATAGTTATGGATTGAAAATCAGCATACTTTTTCTGACATACTCTCCCTGCAGCTTGTACTTCTTTATAGACACTATAATAATGAACAACAAGCACCATTGCTCTTCCCCTCAATCAGGACAGTATGAAAAAAAAACAAACCCTTACACACATGATCTGTGGACTGACAGAAAAATTAAGTACAACCTTTAAATTAAAATTTTATTTAATATGAGGAAAAAGAAAACCGTTAAAAGATAGAACCACACCCCTTTTTTAAGATTAACCAAATTAAACAATTCAAATTGGTCCCATACCATAATTTAGGGGAAAAAACTCAAAGGCAACACATCATGCTAGGGCTAAAATAATGAATCGATTATTGAAATAATCGTAAACTAATTTAGTAATTGATTAATCGTTAACTGGAGAATGGGCTCTATGCACAGCTCCACTACTTCCTGAATTTAAGGCAGCTCCTTTGTTTCCTGTCTTTCATTACTTGATGAACTGATTAATCCAGGTGTGTCTGGCCAGTTACTTAGGTCATACACACCTGGATTAATCAGTGTATCCAATCATGAAAGACAGGAAACAAAGGAGCTGCCTTAAATTCAGGAAGTAGTGGAGCTGTGCATAGAGCCTATAGAGACTGTAAAACATGCCTTTGGCTGACAGAGCAACCTACTTAGAGCAATAACTCTATCACAATTGTAAAATAAATTATAAACATTTTGCATTTAAGATAGACAGAAAAAAGTTTTTGTCTGTCAATATACTCTATCCAGAACTGCTTAAGTTGAAAAGGTTTAATTTAGTAAAAAAAAAACATCTTTAAGGAACCTTTGGCTATAGGATTATTAAGGGAAAAAATAATCAACAGATTAATTGATTTGCAAAGTTATTGTTAGAAAAAGCCCTACATTACACAGAAATCTTTACACAAATCAAAGCTTTAGGGCTCCAGCAGATCACAGAAGAAAAAATGGGAGAAACAGTAGGGGACCTTCCATAGAGTATCCGGTGGATCAGGACCAGTTTAAACGATTGTCAAAAATAATAGCCTAACTTGTCTTTAATAAAGTCTCAGTTGATGTTCAGAGACCAGCCTATGACAGAGAAGGTTCTTGAGAGACCTGAGTTTTCTACAGGTGTGTTGAGTGAAATAATGAAAGGAGATGATTCCAAATATTTCATGTCATGATTCAACATAAACCTTGGCAGAGATGTTTTATCATATGTAGCAGAAAAATCGGGTGTGTCCAAAGCAAAGACACGAGGATCCTCCCTTTACATCGCTGTGTTTATTTTTAGTCTGAAATGATTCACAGGTGATACTGCTGAGAAAACACCTCAGTTAGGATGAGCTGCAAGGTTTCTACACATTAAGGAGAACTTTTAACAAACCGCCTCTCAATTTCTGATCCCTTCATAGGTCTAAAGATGTTTTCCACTCTGTGGATGCACTATGAATACAAAGAAATGCTATACAGGCCTGGTTCTCAGTAATCTAAGCCTACATTCCATTCCCTCCATGGCTGGATGCTATAAAAACAATGGCTGCCTTCAGGTTAGACTTGTTACAAGCTATTGCACTCAAAAAGAAACAAAAGATAGTGAAAAGATTCACTGTTCATTTTCAAAAGGGCTGTTTCAATGACAACATTTAAATTCAAAAATTTAAACTAGAGCTAAACAAGTGGAAAAAGTTAACTTTTGGTTACAGTTATATGTTTTCTTGTACAAGATACAGTATAGCGATAAACTCCCCATCTGTAAAAAAAAAAATAATAATAATAAAATAAATAGAATGCCATAAAATAAGTTCCAAAGGTTTACAGTCAGGATTCTAATTGTATGAAGTTGAGTTAAATTAAAAAAGGCAATTAAATTATATGTCAGCATCCAGCTTTCCTATGACCTGCACTAAACATGTGATTATATCTTTGAGAGGAAACTATTCGAAATAATCTGGTATAAAAGTCTTTATTATCTAGAAAGTTTGATAATTGATAAAATAATTAAAAGAAGCTCAACTCCTGGTTCTGGGATTTAGCATGCTGGAACTACCAGGAAAGCAGGTGCAGAGTTCCTAGAAGGACATACCCCTCTTGTTTCTTGTGCCGTGCTTCTTAGCTGTGGCTATTTCTTGTTCTATTTTCTTCTCCAGATAATCTTGTTTCTTGGTCAGCATTTCCTCGGTTTCCCGGAGTCTGTGGATCGCCTCCTGCGGACTCGGTCCTCCTTTCGACCTGTGCTGTTTGGACTTGGAGGAAGAACCCGAGCTACTAGAGCTTCCCTTGAAAAGCTTCGAGATTTTACTCATTTTTGGCTCTTTTTTAAACAAAAACAAATAGTGAACCGTGTTAGTAGGTAGAGAAAATGAGGTCCGTCTTTATTTCACTTGACTCCACTGGCGGGTTTAGCAGAATTTCCTGCTCGACGGCTTTGAGGTCAATTCAAAGCAGAGAGAAAGAGAGAGCACACCTTTCAGCTTCACCTGGCCTATGACGACATCACACCTTTGCACACGGTACCTTAACCTGTTTTGCCTTTAGAAAATAATTGAAAGTAGATAAGTGGAATTCATATAATTTCAAATTATTATTTAAACACGAATAAATCATTTTATATTTATTCAGATCAACCCCTCCAACCACCATTAATTCAACACTTTAATTTGCATTATTTATTTATTTATTTATTTTATTTTTTTATTTTATGACAGCTAAAATATCCCCCGACACATTTAAAATTCTTTTTGATAATTCACATCTTACAATTAACCAATAAACACCTAATTCTTAGCAGTTAATTGTTACTATTATAATTGCAGGGGGGGAAAAACATCCCATACACCCTTAGAAAGTGTTTATAAGCTGGTGGTTAGACGGGTGCGACATCTTTTAGGACGTTTTACTAAAACTACCATAAAATAATGTCAAGTTCTGATTTACTTGATTTAATAAATAAGACAAGGTGCATGTCTTTGATACATATATGTGAATATTTGTCAAAAATAAGTGGTATTTTTATTGAATTTTCTAGTCTCACACCAATTTAATATAATATAGAAAGAAGTAGACTCTGACCACTAGGTGTCGCTAACGCACCAGCATGTTTCCAATAAACCACGAAACAGAGTGAGCTCATGCTACAGTATTGGCTAATGGCTGAATTAGACATTGGAAAACATTGTCAGGTCGATACCTGCAATCTCAAAGGTTTGTTGAGATTCTATTTGGAGCTGTAAAAGAAAAAAAAGTTTAAAGTGACGCATGTTCCTGTCGAGATTTTGAAATTTAGCAGATTGTCTTCCTAGCATAATTAGCCTGTTAGCTAGCAGTTGTTGTCTTCCTTAGCATAGGTTGCTAGCTGATAGGTTAGCTCTTCCAAACCCGTTCGGCTCAATTAAGAATAATAGAATAATTTTGTCAGGACTCAAGCTTAGTTTTCCCCTTTGTTTGGAAATCCATTTCTAATCAGGTTTAGTTTTACTGGCATATTATATACGATAGGCAGAGGCCAGAGAATAACTAATTCCCTTTAAATTTAATTTAAATTTTCTACATTCATGTTACAGATTTTCTTCCATTTGTTTGTGACTCCTGTAATGGTGTTTACTGGTAAGTTTAAACTATTTAAATATAAGTAAACGTATATTGTAACCCTGCATTGATAGTCATATTTTCTGACATGTAATTGCTTTTTAGTGATGTTAGGCTCAGGATTAGGGTAAACATTTTGCATTTAAAACAGTGGGGTTAGTGGATAGCACTGCTGCCTTGCAGCAAGAAGGTTCCAGGTTATATTTCCGGGGTCTTTCTGCATGGAATTTGCATGTTCTCCCTGTGCATGCGTGGGTTCTCTCTGGGTACTCCTGCTTCCTCCACAGTCCAAAAAAATGACTATTAGGCGAATTGGCCTCTCTAAATTCTTCTTCTTAGTTTAGAGTGTGTGCGCGTGAAGGTTGTTATATTCTGTTTGTCTCTATGCTAATAGCCGATACTGATGCCAACAACGAGATATCATGCATGCCTAGTATCCACACAATCTCAGTTCTTTCTATCCATTCATGCATGAACATATGAAAAACAAGTATTAACACAATGCTGTGCACATTATTATTTGCAAACATCCTAACTGTTAATTTGACATCAATGATTATCCTCCTTCACAAGCAGAAAAAACAAAAAATAATCTATACACTGATTTTGACTCTATTATTGTGATTAATTCTTGTATGTTTCTTATATTTCATTTTAAGTCTATCTCACCTGTAAGTCTGACTGCATCTGTCTCTGAGTTGGCCGGCACATCTCTAATTATAACCCATTCCTTGAATTTTACTGCTGGATAACACAATATAAACTTATGAATAAGACGATAGATAGTAAAAAAGTTGCAATAGATGGCTAAATATGGCTCTTTCTTTTTCTCTACTGTTTTGCATGCTTTGCTTTATTATTTTATATGTCAAACAAAGATCTGGATATTTTCTTTTACACTAATTGTTTTGTTTTTATTTTTTTTTTCTGTCGAGTTAAACATTGTTGGGTTTAGTGAGCAGCTGTGTACAAAATCCGTTTTTTTAAAAGGAAGAATATTTGTTCAGGTTTAAAATTAAAGTTGTTATTGTATAAAAGGGACCATAACAGAGCAGAACAGATTGCTCTGTTGTCTGTAGTTCTTCATCTTGTTCTTTTGTTTTTTGCTGTCCTTTACAGCCTTGAGCACAGAAGCAGAGAGGCCCACTCCTGTGCAGAGGTAGGTCATGTTCTTTTTTTTACTGTCAGGGTATTTTAGATCAGATAAGTGCTTCTTTGATGTCTTTATAATATTGATACGGGTCATGTGTTGCCTTATTTGCTAAGATTAGGACTTTTCAGATTTAATGGGATAGATAAATCTATTAAAAACTGTCACAGTACCCTTTTTTTATTCATGATGTATTTTTACTCTGCGACAGGAAACAGTAACAAGGGAATCTAAGTGGACTGGAGGCAGCACCAGTTATCCCTGCTCCTTTGAAGACTGCAAGGGAAAAGAGCTGCTGCCAGTTTTATGCCCACACTGTGAAAAGCACTTCTGTTTGGTGTAGGTTTTTTTCTTCTTTCAAACAGATCAAAGTAGAGTGTCTGTGTGTGTTTCTGTTTGTCTATCTGAATGGGAGCCATTTTACAATTTTTAACAGGAAAGTGAGGTAATGTTGTAAAGTTAGGGTTATAATATATATATATATAT